GGATGGGTGGGGGTGGACAGTGGGTGGGGGGCCCAGGGACAGCAGTGTGTGGGGTGGGGGTAGGCAGTGGGTGGGGGGCCCAGGGACAGCAATGTGTGGGGTGGGGGTGGACAGTGGGTGTGAGGCCCAGGGACAGCAGCGTGGATGGGTGGACATGGACAGTGGGTGGGAGGCCCAGGGACAGCAGTGTGGATGCGGTGGTGGACAGTGGGTGGGGGCCCGGGACAGCAGTGTGTGGTGGGGGTAGGGCAGTGGGTGGGGCCAGGGACAGCAATGTGTGAGGTGGGGGTGGACATGTTGGTATTGAGGCCAGGGAAAGCAGCGTGGGATGGTGGACGTGGGACACTGGGTGGGCCCAGGACAGCAGTGTGTGGGGTGGGTGGCAGTGGGTGGGCCCAGGTACAGCGTGTGTGGTCCGGTGGTGGACACGTGGGTTGAGGCCCAGGACAGCAGCGTGGGATGGGGGACGTGGAAGTGGGTGGGAGGCCCAGGACAGCAGTGGTGGATGGGTGGGGGTGGACAGTGGGTGGCGGCCCAGGGACAGCAGTGTGTGGGTGGGGTGACAGTGGATGGGGGGCCCAGGACAGCAGTGTGTGGGTGGGGTGGGCAGTGGGGGGGGCCCTGGGACAGCAGTGTGGGCGGGATGGGCGCTGTGTGTGGTTGGGGCGGGCGGAGCGGGGGTCAGTGGGGCTGCTCCAGGGCAGCACAGGCTGGGCGGGGAGCCCAGGGTGGGGGCCGGGTGAGGTAAAGGCTGGGGGAGTCTGGCATAGCGGTTGTGTCTGGCTGATGAGTCCTCTGGCTTCCTCTGAGTAAGTTCTTCTCTGGCCTGGCTGCTGGTAGGAGGGGACACCCCCCAGCCAGGCGGCAGCTCTGCAGAGGCCAGGGGGGTGGGGCTGTGGCCTGTGGAGTTGTATGGGGAGTTGTATGCAGATGTCCTGCTCGTGGTCTCTCTCCAGGTCCTGTGAGTGACAGACAGAGAGAGACGGAGATCCAAGAACCTCCTTGGATCCAAAGCCCTGAGTCAGCCCCAGGGGGACTGGGGCGGGTGGGGTTGGAAGCTGCCCTTTCTGAACCGTGGCAGTCCGAGGCCGAGGGGGTAGAAAGTAGTAGTAAGATTCAGACTCCCTGAAGCTAACCCCTTCTTTTGCAGGTGAGGAAACTGAGGCACAGAAAGGGGAGTGGCTGGCCAAGATCACGCAGGGCTTAAAGGAAGAGGCTCCCTGTTCCCCCTCCACATTGAGGGCCAGCGGCCCCCTCATGTGACCGCAGGAACGGGGCGGCTGCCTTTGGTCCTAACATTCACTGAGGATCTCATCTTCCCCATCATAAAACGGCATGAAAAATGGTAGTTCTCTTCTTGCAGAGTTGGTGGGAGCAGCAAATGCCTCAGCACCAGTGAAGGGCTCGGAACAGTGTCTGCCATATAATAAGCTCCCAGTCACTGTTAAGAAATAACAGTAATTAATAAGAGCGACGCTAACGATAAAAGATACTGCTGTTACACGGGAACCACCCGGTGACGCTGACTCTCATCGTGCCTCACCCACGCTGGAGCAGCCGGTGGTGTCAGAGGTCTGCCTGCCCTGGCCTGGTGGCCGCGGACAGGGCTTGGCCCCACATTCGCATGCTCGGCATGCTCTTCCTGCCTCTGTCTCGAGGTTCCCCGTGAGTCACATGTGTGCAGTCCCTAGTCCTGGCCAGCACCGCGATGGCATCAGCCTGGGAGCCCCCCAAGGGCAGGGCTCAGTCCTGCGTCACCGCTTGCTCAGCCCAGCCCGCAGGCCGGCCCCCGGAGGGGTCAGCGGAGGTGCTGCCTGCCACGTAACCGCCGCCTGCCGAGCATCTGCGTCCCGTCCCTGTCCCTGGCCGCATCTGCGTCCTGTCCCTGTCCCTGGGCCAGGCTGTGGAACGCTGGCAGCTGCTGCAAGGCACTTGGCGCTTCCTCGGGCTGATACAGCCGTTCTCAGCTCCTCACTTGCACCCAGCCACTCATGTCGTCCCGGGAGATCTGAGCTTCTCTTATCTGCGTTTCGTTTCGCAGAGGAGGAAACTGATCCAAGATTTGCCCAGGGTCACAGAGCCGGCCAGCGGTGCAACCGGGATTTCAACACCCGCGGGCTGTCTCCAAACGCAGCACCCTGCAGGGCCACACTCTGAGGCCTTCGGTGGCCGGGCTGAGGTTGCGGGAAGTAAGGAGCGATTAGGGTCCTTACCCACAGCCCAGGAGACGGCTTCTCAGCCTGCCCCGTCTGGCCGTCCTCCCTCCCGCCTCCCCCGCTATCGCTCACGTGCAAGTCTCTCTGCCCGTGCGGGTCTGGGGTTCCCAACCGAGGCCTGACACTCTGTTCTTGTGCCGTTCTCAGATGCAGACCTCTCCGGTGGCCCCCAGCCCGACCCCACCCTGACCTCGTTCGCCCACAGCCCACCCCACGCCCTGGATTTGGACTTCAGAGTTCCAGCGACTCTGCTCATTGGCTGTGGAGCAGACGACTGTCAGGAACTGGCCAATCAGAAGCCTTCCTCTGGGCTTCCTCCCAGCACCCCAGGTTGGTTCCCTCTGGGGCAACCATGTCCGAGCAGCAGGGTAGGGGTGTGTGCGGAGAGGCGAAGGGCTCGACAGGGGAGGGAGACACTGAGCCTGGGGTCGCCAGGCATGTGGAGAAAGGGCCCAGGGCGAGACAGAGTTGGGATCACAGTGGCCACCCCAGCACGCTGGCCTGTCCCTTGCTCCCTGTTTTGAATTAGTGGGTCCTCTTTCTGGAGTGTGGTGAGTACATAGGATGCCACATCCAGGCTTCCAGCAATCTCCTCGCCTCCGTTTCCCTGTGCCCCCCCCCCTGGCTGTGGGCTTTGGGAAGTGAGCTTGGACCCTGTGTTTACTCCCCGGTGTTGCCCCTGGCTTTGGCCTTGGTCCACTTAGGCCGATGGTGCAAGCGGGGTGGTGTAACAGCCTCACCGGCCAAACAGCTGCCCCTGAGCCGGTTCCAGCAGGGCTCCAAGGCTGAGGGCTTTGTCCTCGGGGAAGGGCCACATGGAGCTCCCTGGGTCCCTGTGATGATGCCACCCATAGGATGGGTGGAGGGAACAGAGTCATGGGTGTCCACTGAGGGCAAGAACCCAGCTGCCCCGGGTGACCCTCGGGTGCTGGCCGGTGCAGGCAGGGGCTCCTGGCTGGGCTGCAGGACCTGGGTGCGTAGGTGCGTGTGGTGGGGACCGCTACATTATGTGCTGCCTCAGTAGCAATGCTGAGTGAGGGACAAATGCTCAAGGTGAAGTGCTCTGCAAACAGAAGTGGCCTCCTTGAACCCACTTGGCTCTGCAAACTGGCTGAAGCCTTCAAACGCAGCGGCCGGGGCAAGGCAGGAGGAGCCCACTGGCAAGGAGTCAGCAGCCGAACTGGGACCAGCCACCCGCTGGCTGTAGCAGTCCTGAGTGGTCTCAGTAAATCTTGAGTGAGTTTATCTGGAGGGTCTCTGAAGGTATGGCAGGGGGTGGCAGTCCAGTCTTCAATCCATTCTCGCCACCAGTCCTGGACAAACTCACTTGGGCAAGGGGTGGTTTCCCTCTGTGTAGACTCCAGTCTCAGAAGCTCTCTTTGTCTCTGGATGTGTATGTCGATTAGAATTAGGTTTGGTTATGAGCGACAGAAAAATCCAAATGATAGTGTCTTACATAAGATGTTTATTTCTTTCTTACACAAATGAAATATGGTGGTATTCGGTCCAGGTTTGTTATGCTGGCTCTGTGGTCATCAGGGATCTAGGATCTTTCTATCTTTATTATGCCACCAGTTGCAAACATGGCCTCTACCTCATGGCACGATATGGCTGCCAGAGCTCCAGCCACCCTATCGGCATTGCAGCCAGCTAGAGTAAGGCAGTGGGGAAAAGGGGAATGCCTTGTCCCACCTGAAAGTCACATTCCATGTCACACAAGATACTTCTTTATATATCTTACTGGGCAGAGTTTAATCATATAGCTGCACCTAGCCTCAAGGGAGGAGGAAAATGCAGTCTTTAGTCTGGGTGGTCATGTGCCAAGCTTAAAACGAGAGGTCTTGTTACTGAGGCAGAAGACGGAGCAAACACTGGAGTGAGCTAGCTGTCCTTGCCACCGTGTGCAGCCTGAGTGGAGAGTTCCAGGTGCTGCATGATTCCCATAGGCCCCTCTGAACAGGAGCCTCGCTGTGGGGAGCGGGGCTCGGGCTCCCCATCTGGGCCTTGCCGCCAGCTCCGGGACTTGAAGTCCTCCTTGGAGCCGCGGTGGTAGCAGGAACAGGCCCCTCCCGGGGTCTCCAGCAGGGAGAGGATCAGTTTGATGATCAAGGCCAGCCACGCCATCCCAAAGAGAATCCACAGAGACACCATGTTCTTGTACCACAGCGGGTACCGCCGAGAGGGGTTCATCCCTGGGGAGGAGCCGGGGTCAGAGCAAGGGCAAAGCCAGGGCCACGTTCCCCAGGCAGAAGCGGCATGCCTGGCCGGGTCACCTGAGCAAGCTGAGGGGCCAGCGGGACAGAACATGGGAGGTACACGCTGATCTGATTCCGGGTCTCACGGTCACCTCCCTGGGAGTCCAGGAAGCCTCCCTGGATTGGTGCTTGGGGTTGGAAGCTACATTTCCTCTTCCTCTCTCCAAGGGATTCTGTTTATGTGCTACCCCAGCGGTTCTCAAAGTGTGGTCCCTGGACCTGCAGCGTCTGCGTCATCTGAGAGCTTGTCAGAGATGAACATGACCGGCCCCACTGCAGACCTAGTCTGTGCTTGAACATGCCTCCAGGACACTCTGACACCTGCTCTATCACTTGCTTATCTCTTTGGTTTTCTCACATCTGCAAGGAGGCATCGTGCTGGGGCTTTAGGAAGACCCGGTAAAACGGCTTGCGTGTCCTGCCTCACTTCTCAGGAGCATGTGATTGCCATCTGCCTGAACCCCCCTCTCCTGTGAAATTCCCACCGGGAAACATAATCGCCCCCCGGGCACTTCAGCTTTTAGGCTGAAGTTCCAAAGCCTCACCTCTGCAGCACGCCTCTCCCCCCTGACTGCCCTGCCACTCTCTCCCCACTTGCACGACTGTCACCCTTCCTGCCTCAGGGCCTTTGTACTTGCTGTTCCCTCAGCTTTGCATGCTCTTCACTTCAAACTCCTCTTGGCCCGGTTACTTCCCCTCGTCCTGCAGGTTACTCCCTCGGCTGTGAGGTGGAGACAGCAAAGGTCCTCCTCCTGCCACCGCTGGGGACCTCAGGAGCTGACGCAGCCACAGAGCCCGGGACCCGTGGTTGGCTGATTGTTTTACCCCATCAAATCCCCCTCTCGGTGCAGTCCGTACTGGGCAGTACGGCCGGGAAGGGCAGACGGGGTCGCTGTGTCTCAGATAACCCTTGCCACGGCATGCCCTCTCTGTCATTTACTGCCCTCCCTGGGGTCTGTGCTGCCTCCCTCTCTAGACTGGGCTCCTTCAAGGGTGTAGATCTGCCCTCCTGTTTCCCCACCTCCCTCTCTGCCTCAGCGCCCCGCATCCCCTGTCTCCTGCTCGTCCTGTCCTGCCACCCCCAGACGGCCTCTCTATCCAGGCCCACAGGACAGACCCTCGCTGCTCGGGCTCCGCTGGGGTGAGGCTGCAGCCCGGGTGACCGGTGGTGCTACTGGGAGAAGCTGGGATTGGATTAGGCTGATTGGGTTACGGGGCCGCGATTCCGCTGACGGTCCCAAATGAGATCAGCAGCGAGCCAGCTCCCCGGCCCTGCCACCCGCCGGCTTGGCTTGCTCCTGGTCACAGAGGGGAGGAGGCATCCATTCCCCCTTTATTTCATTTTGGTAGCTGAAATCACAAGTGGCAGGAGACCTGGCAGCTGGCAAGGCGGACGGAGCCGCAAATGCAATTGGGGCAGCGAGGGCTGCGGGCCCGGGAGGAGCAGCGGCTGGGACCCGGCGCTGCGCTGGCCACGGCCTTGGGGCAGAGGAGTGGCTGCGCAGGCAGCGCAGGACGTGGGCGGCCACATCCAGTGGCCAGGACGGGGACCGCAGCATTCCCATCGAAGAAAGGAGTTGACCCTGTTGCTGGAGGACAAGGAAAGCTAAGAGATTGAGGAATAGGTGTAGAAGGTTCTGGAACATGGGGGTGTGAGGACCCTGGCTTGGGGGTTTATCCTAGACTTACCCTGATCATGACCTTATTCAACTCCCTTCCCTTCCCTGGGCCTCAGTTTCCCCATCTGTATAAGGAAGAGCCTTGCAGATGAAGCTGTAGGGCTGTCAGTATTGTCACTTGCCATGGGACACTGTGATGGCCGCGGAGGGGCGCAGAGTGGGCAGCAAACCCCTGCAGACGTGGAGAGGGGCCCGCTGCGCAGGCGTGGCCTGCCCGGGCAGCCCCTCTGGCCTTAAAGGGCCCTTGCTGTGGACCAGGCTTGGCCAGGCAGGGAGTCCCCGCAGGGGCTCTGGGGGCCTGCTCCCACCCTGCTGCTCCCGTGGGGGCTCCCGGGGTGGGAAGGGCCCCTATAGCCCTCCTCGTACACTGGCTGCGCCACTCACCACAGCTTCCTTGATGTTGGCTGAGGCCTCTCCTCCCATTTCCAGTGCCCGAGTCTAGGGAGGGCCGCCCCTCCTCCCTCTGCCCTGCCCTGCCCTGCCCTGCCCTGCCACAGGGGACGGCCAGGCCTCAGGACAGCCTCACGGGGAGCCCCCCCAACCGCACGTCGCTTCCCAGAGAGGCTGCTGCAGGGCCCGTCAGACCACACGGCCCTGGACGGAAGCTGCTAGAGCCGGCCAGAACAGTATTTCTGGTATTTATGGTGGCCGGAGTGCAGTGAGTGTGGAAGGGAGAGCGCTCAGACTGGAGAGGGAGGCAGGGCCCCCGGGGGCCTAGTTATGGATTTTGGACTCCATCCTGAAACTGTGGGAAAGCAATGAAGGTTTTCAGAGGAGCTAGGCAGGTGACGAGATAGCATTTATAGTTTTTAAAGGTCATGAGAGCCAAGGCGGGACAAGGATGGAGGGCTATACAACTCCATGGGTGCCATCTTCATTATGCTCTGTGTGAATGGCAAACCTATAGGGTCGTGCAGTGCCCAACCTATGCAGCTGTATGTAACAGCCTTGCCTGGACAAGGGAAATGATGTGAGAATAGAGAAGAGAAGACAGATCCCAGAATCATTCTCTGAGCTGTGGTCCTTGTAGCTGCAGGGCTCAGCTCTTCTCAGACACCTCTCTCTACTCTGAGGGTAAAGGTGGGGACATGCCCCAGGTGGAAGGAATTCCTTCCAGAACAACAGCCCTCCTCCCAAGATGGGGAGGCCAGGAAGCGAGTAGCTTGAGGCCTCCAGCACCAGGTCCCTCTTGCTGGGGAAGGAGAGGGTCAGGAAGGGCTCCTTGCACACAGAGGCCAGAAGACACTGAAGGGGCTTAGCAACCACCTCAGTTTACAGCCAGGGACACTGAGACCCAGAAAAGGGACATTTTAGGCAGTCTGGAAAGGGTATGAATTTGGGAGTCAAATAGATCAGAATTTATATCTCATGAGCTGTGCAATCTTGGGCAGATGGCTTGGCGTCTCTGAGCTTCAGCTTCCTCCTCAGTAAAATGGGGGTGACGACCTGCTGGGTTAGCTGGCTGTTTCTTTAGTAAAACTTCCTTTCAATATTCCAGCCTGGGGTCCGCTGTTGAAGGGGTCAGGAGGAGCAAGGCCTCCTCCCCACTTTAGGGCCACGGGGTCAGAGGGAGGGTACAAAGCCCCCCGAGGCCAGCCTGGTGGTGGTGCCACCGCTGTGACCCTTCAGGGGTGGGAGAAGAGGGGGGTGATGGAGTTGGGCTGGCTGAGCCACCCCTGCCACTGCAGAGGACGTCCCTCCACTGCCACCTGCTGGACGCCCACCTCAGCTCTACCACGCAGGGTTAGTGGCTTCTGGGGCCCTTGTCCTGTGTACCTGGGGCAGCCACCACTGATTAAGCCTCGGGTCCTCTGGACCCCGAGGCCCTTCCTGCTGTCCTGCTGGCACGCAGAATCTGGAGGCCCTTCCTGCTGTCCTGCTGGCACGCAGAATCTGGCTGCCAATCGCGTTCCAGCAGGGCTCTGGGAGGCTGGGTTCCATGGGTCTTCCAGACTCTGCCGCCTGACCCCAGGGCTGCGACCTCCAGCCAGAGGCTGTGGGTGGGCTGGCGCTCCACGGAGTGGGGGAGGGGAGACCCAGGGCAAGGACGGACAGGGGAGGCCGGCCAGGACTCCCCTTGTCTGGAGGGCTCTGAGCACAACCGGTTGGCCTGGGGCCACGTGAGGACCTCCCAGCGCAGGTCAAGGTGTGCAGGAGCCACCCCGGCCGAGTCTCTGCACGGCGGGAGCAGGGGAGTGGGGGGCGGGGGCAGCTGGAGCTCCGGCCCGCCCGCCCGCCCGGGCCCTCACCGATCACGTAGTCGCCGAAGCCCACGGTGCTGAGGGTGATGAAGGCGTAGTAGAAGCCCTCGATGTAGCTCCAGCCCTCCATGTGCGCGAAGAGCAGCGGGGGCAGCAGCAGGAAGAGCAGCAGGCCGGAGAGGAGGGCGCCCGAGCCCGCCAGCCAGCGCGCCGTGCTGGGGTCCTGCGTGCGGACAGTGGCGCGGCGCCTCAGCCGCACCCCTCCGTCCCGCCCCTTCCGCCCCCGCGGCCTCTGCCGGCACCTGGGCCGAGGTGCAGACAGCCTGGGGTGTCGCGCTGGGGGCAGCTAGAGCGCCCCCGTAGGAAGGGCGCTGCCCAGGGCCCCTTCCCCTGTCCTCTGTCCTCCAGGTTTCCCGCCAGGAGCCTGTGCCCTTGCTGCCTGTGTCCTTCCTGCCTCCCAGGCCCCCGTCTCCACCACGGACGCCCCTTTACGACCCAGGACCCCATCTTGGACAGGACCCCCAATCCCACCCGTCCCCACAGTAACCCCTGCTCCCCCTTCCCATCAGGGACCCCAGCCCCAGAGCCCTCACCTGCCCGGCGCCCCCCAGCCTGCGGGCGCAGCGGTGCACTCCCCGCTGCATGAGGTGGCCCAGGCGGTTGAGCACCACGAGGTTGAGCGGGATCCCCACGAGGGCAAAGAAGATGCAGAAGAGGCGGGCGGCCATCGTGTGGGGGCTCAGGTTGCCGTAGCCTGCGGGGAGAGGGGGCACTCGGGGCCTGTCCACATGGCCCTGCCCACTCCCCCCACATAGACCCCACCCCCGGCCCACCCAGGATGGGCAGCTGGTCCTCGCCACACCCGTCCTTCCCCGTGCCAGGCGCTGCACATAGGCCCTGTGCGTTCCCCCTCCACGCACCTCACGGCGCCCTCCCGAATCGGACGACCAGTCTCCAGGTGGGAGGGGATGCTCTGGGGGCTAAGCAGCGCGAGAGAGCCCAGACCCACCCGTGTGAGGGGCTCCTCTTTCCTCTCCTGCCTCTCTGGTGGGCAGAGGGATGGGGCACAGGGAGGGGACACCCTCCAGCTGCTGCACCCTGGGGATCCACTGCACCATCTACGCTGAGGCCATGCTGTCTGCGGGTGCGGGCTCGGGCTCGGTGGGGCACTAAAGCGGCTGTCCCTGCAGGCAAGCTTTGCGCGGGGCTCCCAAGGCCTGGCCGGGACGTCCTTAGAGCCGCACTGCACCTGCAGCTCTTCCGCCCAAGCCTCCTTCCTTTCCTCTCTCCTTTTACAGGCCTCAGACCCACTTGCAGCCCGAGGCTTTTGCCGTTTATTCCTGCCCCCTCATCCTTCGAAGTCCCCCACCCCGTGTATCTCTCGCACGACTCATTCTGTCCTGACATCTGCTTCCTGGAGGACCCAGACTAACACGCCTGGGCGCCCCGCCCAAGCCCTGTGGGGGTGGGGGGGGCAGAGGACAGAGCATCTGCTGACCCCAGGGAGGGGGAGACAGGGCAGGCAGGGGCTGGGGGAGCATGAGATGTTCACAAAGGACTCTGTCGGCCGGAGCATTCTGTGTCCTTCGCCTCTGTCTCCCACCTCCTTGGTCACTACCACTGTCTCGTCCCTCTAAAATGCAAACCTGATCAGACCATTACCCGGGTTATAACCCTCCATTAAGTCCCATGTCTGCCCGGGAGAGTCCAAACTCTCACCCAGCCTCTCTCTGAGCCCCAGCTGTGCCCCCACTTTCCCACCCCACCCACCCCTGCCCCTGAAGCCCCCAGGCCCTGTCTCGGCTCTGTGCCTTGGAACGTGACTGCCCCACTATGAAGAGGGCATGTCTCCTCTTGCCCACCTGTAAATGGCCCTTCCAGTGTCCCGCCCCCCCAGTGGAGCGGCGCCTCCTCCAGGGCTGCCCCCCACTCTGCCCCAGCTCGGGGGCGACTGCCCTGGGTGAGTGATTTGCTTCCGTGTCTGCCTCCTCCGAGTATGGTGAGCCCCTCAAGAGCAGGCGCTGGGTCTTAACTCACCTTCACATCCTGAAGAACTGGCACAAGATCTGACCCTTAGCAGGTGCTTACCCCCACATGTGTGTTGAGTAAGGACAAGTATGAACGTTGAATGAGTGAATGAGGAAACACATGAATGAATGTATAAGTGAATGAACAAACGCCTCCCACCCTGCCCCATACTGTCCCCTAACACTCCCGCTCCCTCAGGTGGGGTCAGTGCACTCACACTCCCCGCGCTCACCTGTACTATAATGAAACTGGTGGTTAACGTCCCCGCCCACCTCACTGGCCGGTCCTGGGAGAGGCCAGTGAAGTGCAAGTGCAGAGCGTGGGCTTTGGAGTCTGATGCACTTCCCAGGTTTGAACCCCAGCTCAGCCCCTTGCAGGCTGTGGGACCTTGAGTAAGTGGCTTGACTTTTCAGAGCCTCGGTTTTCTTGTCTGTAAAATGGGGATGTTGACATCCACCTGCGGAGTGTGGTGGGCATGAAAGGAGGCAACAGAGGTGTGCTGCAGATGGGACCGTGAGCCGTGGGGCATCTAGTGTATGCACGGTGCTAAATAAACGTTTGCTGCGTGAATGAATAGAGAAACGGTGGAACTCCACTGACCTGGCTTCTGGTCTGAGGACCTCAGAGGCCCCTTGAGTCCCCCTGCTGGCCTTTATAGGTGTCCTTTTCTAAAGGAGGGGTTCTCCTTAGAGAAGAACCCCCTGGTTGCATCTGGGGAGGGGTAAACCTCTTGATTTCCATCCCTCTCTCCTCCAGGTGTGGGTCCCTCCCCAGTTCCATCCTCTGTCCCTGCAGTCCTTTCATTCTGTTCTCACCAGTGGGATGGTGGCACCTAGATTCCGGCTCTGAGACGAGCCTCCCGGAGGCCTGCAGCTTGCTACGGCTGACATGAAATGGGGTTTCCCCTCCCCATCATTCTCAGTCATCCCCCAGGTCAGCAAAGTTAGTGGACGTCAGTGAAGCCCTCACCAGCGACCTGTTGAACTCTGGGTAGCCACCGCCCTGTCCATGCCACCTCTCCCTTTAGCATGTCTCCTGCTGTCCCTCCGTACCTTGCTGGGAGCTCCAGGCACCCTGCAAGGCCTGCATGGCTGGGCTCCTCTGCACCCTCTCTGCACTCAGCCATCCTTTCCAACTCTCTGCAGCCACCTGGACCTCCTCGCCATTCCCCAAACACACCAGTCACACTCCTGCCTCAGGGCCTTTGCACTTGCTGGCAGGAGGGTCTCTCCTCAGATGTCTGTGGAGCTTGCTCTTTTATTTCGCCATGTCCCTGCTTCAGTTTTACTGTATCAGCGAGTCCCCATCACCACGAGACCCTCTTTACTTTCCTCTAAGCACCTCCCAGCCCTGATTATTATCCATGCATCTATTAGTTTACTGTGTGTCGCTCACCCTGGAATGCCAGCTCCCCGAGGGCAGGGCTTGCGAGTTTTGGTTACTGTTGCATCCTCGGCCTCTAGAATACTCCGGCCCACACGAGTGACTCAATTTATTCGTTGAATAAATGGATGGGCAAAGGAGTGAATGAATAAGCAAGCGAGGGACGCGGTTTATAGATGATGAATGCTGTCCGGGTCAGGCCCATCCTACTGGCCCAGAAGTCTCTGCGTGCCTGTCAGACCCTGTTTCATTTCAGGGCTTGGAAAGCACAGCCCTCACAGGGTGCTGGCCCCAGGGCGACGGGGTTGCCCAACAGGCCGCCTCTGCTGTGCCTCTCAGATACCCCTTGCCGCCCTTATGGTGTCCCAGATGTACCCTGTCTCCCTGCCCCTCCTGCTCTGAGTTCCCTCCCTGTGCGTGCATGTGTGTGCATGTGTGTGTAGGTGTGTGCGTGTATGTGTGTGTGTGTGTGTGTGAGTCACAGAATCATGAGCTCCCCTGTTGTTCGGCCCACAATGGCTATCTCCTCGCTGCTTGGAACTCCCGCCCATCTTGTAAACCCTCCAAGGGCAGACACTATCAGAAACAGCAATGTAGTCCCCTAGCTGGGTTTCAGATTCCAACTCTGCTGCTCACCAGCTATATGACCTTGGGGAAGTTGCCCAGCATCTCAGTGCCTCAGTTTCCCCGTCTGTGAAATGCAAATAGCAAGACCTATCCTTGGAGGTTGCCATATGGACAAATTGAGATCTCAAATGTCAAAGCGCCCAGCACAGTGGCTGGTAAGAGAAGGCCCCAGGTGTATCCTATTGTACTGTGTGTGGTGGGGCTGGGTCCTCCTTCCTCTGTCCTCCTCCCGCTAAGAGGTGGCTGAAATTGGGTGGAGAGGAAGGAGCTGGGGAATGGTCCAGGCTGGGAACGGTAGAGATGGGAAGAGACAGGCTGCGAGACTCTGAACTTGGTGGGCTGGAGGCACAGGCCTGGGGCAGAGGGTGTGGGGGTCACAGACTAAAGGTCCCCACACATCTGGGGGCCTGGCCCATGGTAACGGTGCTTCCAGATCTCCGATGCCCTGGAACTGTTCAAGTGCATATTTAATGGAATTCCTTAACATGGCAGCGTTTATTGAGCACCCACTGTGTGCTGGACCTTGTTTCAGACCCTGGGGATGTAACGATCAAGACTAGATGGAGAGGCCGGGCGTGGTGGCTCACGCCTGTAATCCTAGCACTTTGGGAGGCCGAGGCGGGCGGATTGCTCAAGGTCAGGAGTTCGAAACCAGACTGAGCGAGACCCCGTCTCTACCAAAAATAGAAATAAATTAATTGACCAACTAAAAATATATATAAAAATTAGCCGGGCATGGTGGCGCATGCCTGTAGTCCCAGCTACTCGGGAGGCTGAGGCAGTAGGATCGCTGAGCCCCGGAGATTGAGGTTGCTGTGAGCCAGGCTGACGCCACGGCACTCACTCTAGCCTGGGCAACAAAGTGAGACTCTATTTCAAAAAAAAAGACTAGATGGAGAGTCCTGTGGGTGCTCTTGCCTGACCCCACCCTGGGGAGGACCGAGGCTGGGATGTGGCGTCATGGAGACAGGATCCAGCCTGGACAGGCGCTGGGAGGTGGTAGCCCAAGTCACCGGTGGTGTCAGCCTGCCACCTGCTGGTGAGTCCTGGGTCATGCAGGGGCTGGGGCAGGGGGACGGGCGGTGGGGGCGGGGCCACCTTGCATCCTTTCCTGGGTTCCAGAGCTGCAGGGATCTAGCCTGCTCTTCTCCTTCTCCTCACAGCAGCCCCACGCACCCCGCTGGGACAAGTTCTGTGTCAGCTGCTCTGCGGTGCAGGGCTAGCCCAGGTGTCCCTGTGTGGGGGAAGGTGGCGGTGGGGAATGGGGTCTCCGTGAGCCGAGGAGAGGCCTCTGCGAGTGGCGTGCTCTTGGCTGCAGACGGGCATGGATGGCTGCCTCCCCCGGGGCTGAGTATAGGGTGTCTAGAGGCTCTTTCTTTGGATTTCTGCCTCCTTTCCCACCTCCCCCTCACCTCTCCCAGCCACCTCCCCAGGCACAGTGTTGGGTGGGGGGGCTGAGGGGACGGGACACCTGTGGCGCTCAGAGGCATCTTTCTTGCTGCCTGGAGACCGCTGCTTCCTGCAAGGCTGTGTGAGGCAGAGTCCCCTAGAGCAGTGCCCCTCACACCTGGACATGGCACACGGCCCCCCTGGGGATCTGGGTAGAACGCAGGACCGACTCAGCAGGTCTGCAGGGGGCCCGGGACTCCATGCCCACATGGTGTCCATGCTGTGGAGCCGCACACGGTGCGACCTGTGCATTCATGAGGCCCAGGAAACCTGACAAAGGACAACCAGCCCCACCGCCCCTCAGGGAGCGGCCACTGCCCCAGCCCCGTCCGCCGGCCCACCGCCCTTACCGATGGTGGTGATGGTGGACACGGAGAAGAAGAAGGAGCCCACGAGCTCCCAGCGCCCCATGCTGGTGGTGTTGCTGAGGAGGCTGGCCCCGCTCTTGTACGCTTCGACGATGTCCTGGGGAGAGGCTGCAGTGACCACCAGGCTCTGTGGGGTGCCTGTGTCCCTGCACTCCAACACACACACTCGTGCACAGTCCTCACAATCACTCTGCCATCCCAGCCTGGCCGGGCAAGGCGGCCCTACCCCTCCAGCCAGGGATTCCAGGGGCGGCTCCCATGGGGCAGCTCCTTGCCCTCTCTTTACCCCAGAGCCCAGGTCAGGGTGGGGTCCGACAGCTCACCAGCCAGTAGACCAACCGTTCCTTTTCTGCCCTGCACACTCCCATTCCTGCAACAAGCACTAGGCCAGACATGAGATGTGCTGCTTTTAGGGGACATGAAGATAACAGAGACATGACCTCAGCCCTCAGTGGTATAGAGATAAACTTAATTAACTCCAATATAATGCACTCAGTGCCGCTTGGGGCATTAAAGAGGCAGTACAGCTGCACCGTCCCGGGCAAGTTACTCAACTTCCCTATGCTTCAGTTTCCTTACCTATAAAATGGGAATACTAATAATATCTACTTCATAGAGTTGTTGTGACAGTTAAATGAGATGTTGTGTGTAAAGACTTTATAGCAGTGCCCAGCACGTGGTAAATGTTAGCAGTTGCTATTGTTACCATGTTGCAGGAATACAGGGAAGAAAGATGTTCATTCTCATGGGGGTAGGAGCAGAGGCTTCATGGAGGAGGTGACATTTTTACAGGATCTTCGCTGAGGGCCAGGTAGGATAGCTTCTGGTGGAAGGACATTCAGGTAGGTGTGACAGCAGCAGCAGAGGCTGGGAGGTGTGGGGTCTAGACTCCTAGACTCAGGAGACTGACAGGTGATTGGGACCAAGCTGTGCTTGTCTCTGCTGTGCCAGGGATGGAGTGGCAGGCCTCATCTAAGGTCACCGATCGAAGGGGAGGCAGGGTCAGGTTTGCCTGCCCAGTGGCAGCTGGCAGTATGGAAGTTTGTCAGATCAGAAGGGGGTACACTCTTGCAGGCGAGTGGCAGAGGGGGCCTGCCCTGCATGCTGGCTTGGAGTGTGTCAGAGGAACAGAGAGGAGGTATCTGGAAGTCCAGGCCTCTGGCCCCACTTGGTATGGGCGGCATATGGGCCTCGAGGGAGGCATCCCAGAGGATTGAGAGGGTGTGTGGACATGGAACAAATGTCGGAGACTTGGAACAGGTGAAGGAGCAGGGCTGGGCGGAGGAGGACTGCTTGCTCTTGGCCTTGAGGAATTTGAGAAGTTGCACAAACATGTCTGGTTCTCAGAGGGAAGGTGTGGGCAGAATACCACATACTTATTCCTGGGGAGGGCTGAAGCCACAGGGGGGTTGAGGAAGGGGGTGAGGTGGGGATGGAGCAGCAAGGGATGGGAGGGAAGCCTACAGAGAGGGCCTGGCCGGGCACAGGTCCATCCTGAAGCAGCACTCATGGTGGCTCATGGCCCCAGCTTGGGGCTGTGTAGCCATGTATTTCCACTTAACCTGTCTGAGCCTCAGTTTCTTCACCTCTAAAAAGGGATGATAATAAGAGTGCCTCCCTGCGAGGGAGGTGAGCACGAACCAAGTTAGTATGCCTAAGGCACTAGGCACGTTGCCGCAGGGAAGCGTTTACTATTATTAGTGTCATCGTCATCATCACAGTCATCTTCCTGGGCCAGGCACCAGGGTCAGACAGCCTCAGCAGCAGGGCCGAGCTGATGTACTAATATTTGCAGAAGTTTGCAGGTGGAGGGTGGAGGAACCACTTTAGATCCCTAGCTGAGATGGCTCATGCCCCGCTTTGCTCCAGACCTGTGGAGCCGGCCTTGTTCCAGGGTTCCTAACTCCATCTCCTCTCCCGCCCTGACATATGTCCCTGCTACCTTCTGGGCACTGGCTTTGGCTAGAGGGCCTGGGGCACAGGGCCTGGCTTCCTCTGCAGAGGAGCCACCGGGCCTGCAAGGCAGGGGTTCAGGGCTGGCGCGCAGCTGTCTAGGCCTGGGTGCTGGGCTCTCAGAGGAAGGGGTGTGGGCACCGAGCCACACCCCTGGAACGTTAATGCATCCGCCAAATCGAGCAGCTGCCAGTCTGGCGGCGCCTGGGTCTGAAGAGACCTCCATCCATCCGGGATGCCCCGCCCCAAGAACCCTGCCCTGCCTGCTCCGCCCGCTGAGTCCCCACCCTCTGAGGGCTCGCCCTGCAAGACCTCTGGCTCTTCTCCCATCCGCGCCTTGAGCCCTTCCCGGCCTCCGCGGCTGGGGCGGCGCACCCAGCCCTGGGTGTCCGAGGACTTGGAGCAAGGCGAACTCGGTCAAAAAGCGGCCCCGCGTCCACTCTCCCTCTCTCGAACCCGGGTCTGCGCGCCGCGAGCCCCCTCTCTCCGCTGCGCCTGCCCCAGGCAGCGCGCCTTGCCCTGTGCACCCGCCCTCCAGGACTGGGGGCCCCCTCCCCTAGGCTCCCCTGGCCGTGCCCTCGGTCTTGCTGGTCCTTAGCCCGGGCCAGCGCCCCTGCCTGCAGTCCTCGCCCCCGGTTCGCATATTCGCGCCCCGGCTCGCGCCCTGGAAGGGCCAGGTGTGCCCTTCCATTCTTCGCCTTCCGTCCGACCCCAACACAGCGCTGCGCGTCCCGGCGCGACCTGCCACCTCCCGCCAGCAGACCAAGCGCTCCCTTTCCTCCTTCTGGCTCGACCTGGTCGGCCCTGCCTGCGGGCTTCTGACCCAGGGAGGCGCGACCCTGTCGTCCTCGTCCCCAAATTCGGAGGTTTGCGCCCGCATCTGTCTCCCCACCGGGCCAGTCTTGCCCCGCGCCCCCTAAAGGAGGACTCGGAGCACGGCGCGGTGCAACGCTGTCGCCAGAGCCGGGGTCCTTTCGGTGGGGTGCCGCCCCCTCCAGGCCCCCGCGCGGAAACGCCCGCCCCGTCGTGCCGCGTGGGCGCTCCCCGCGGTTCCCTGTCCGCGGCCTGCCAGGCCCCCTCTCCCTCGCTGGCACACCCACGTTCCCCATCCCGCCGCGCCCGGCCAGCCCCGCCGGCCCTGACCCGGATCAGCGAGTCCAGCGCCGGGCCGTCCAGACACGTGAAGTTCCGCAACAGCTCCCACTTGTCGCGCTGGAAGCTGCGGCTGGAGTCCTGCGCCGCGCGGCCCTCCAGCGCCCAGAACACGCCGGTGCCCAGCCCCAGGTAAGCCAGGTAGGCGAGCAGCAGGAGCAGGGTGGTCGGCAGCGGGCAGCACCAGGCCCTGCCCTTGGGCGCCGCCCGGGCTCGCGGTCGGTACATGGCGGGAGAGGCGGGGAGCCCGAGCCTGCCGGAGCTCTGGACCAGGACTGGGGCGGAAAGGAAGGACCAGGAGCTCAGCTGGTCCCTCCTCTAGCAAACGCCTCCCTGGGCAATCCCCCCTCCGCAGAGGGGACAACCCTGTCCCACCTGTCCTGGGATCCAATTCCCTGGACAAAAAGAGGCTCTGCCTGCGGGCATCTGGCCCCGCCTCAAATGTGTGGAGTGCCCAGCCCCCAGGCCCAGGCGGGGAACAGAGGGCTGCTGGGCGACCACAGGCGAAGGGGCCCAGAGGCCCCCAGCATTTCCTGCAGTGAACAGTGGGAGGGACTCCTGGAAACCATACTCAGGGGGAAGAGGAAGTGGAGCCCAAGTTTATTGTCTTAGGGCCCCTGCTTAAGTCCTTGGACTCTGGGGCTATCTGTCGGTCAGTCTGGATCTCCCACACCACTGCTTTTTTCCCTTGTGTCCCCCAAAAGAAGGACCCCAGCTGATTTCAACTTTCCCATGAGCTTGGGGGGCAAGGGGAGCCTTAACCAGGGGGCTTGTCCTTTCCCTGCTTCTGAGAATGCCCCCTGAGTCCCTCCTCCACCCAGAATGGAGGAAGGGTCCAGGGTGCGTGAAGAGTCTTCTCTTGGATGTGAGGAAGTCCTGGGGTGCAAGCTCGATCCCTCCTGCTGCCTGGAGCCTCCTCCGCTGCACAGCCTTGCTTTAGTCTTGTCCAGAGCATGTGGCCACCCATGGGCCTTCTTGCTGTTGGGTGTTGGGGGAGGTCGGGGCCAGAGTTTCCAGTTCTTGGTGAGATTGGGCCGTGGGATGGACTGGTCTAAATCTCTCCTTCTGGCCAGAGATGTTGCAATCTGGCAGCCGAAAGGCCAGGCCTGGAGAGCACATTCCCAAGGGAGGTCAGACATCCATGGAACTCATTTTCTGGAAGGCTCCTGGGATCTGCTGGCTCTCTGGGTTCCCAGGGGGTGTCTGGAAAGGCTCTTAAGAAGGCAGGTGCCCAGAGGGAGTGATGCGGTCAAGGGGGTGCCCTGCGGGGGCCAGGGGAGGCCATGTCCAGGAAAATGGCAGGGGTGGGGACACCCAAGAGGTCCCAAGCCTTGTTCAGCCCTAGACCTCCAGGCAGGGGAGCTGGCGAGCTTTGAGAGGCTGCTTGCCTGCCCCTCAGTGGAGAGCTTCCTGAGGGCAGATATCCTGTTTTCACCAAGATTGTCCCAAAGTCTGTGCCCAGCCCCCTGCCAGCCACCCCCATGGGCTCTCATCATCTCCTCAGGTCTGTTCCTGTCATAGCATCTTGGGTGCTGTCTTGGGGCTGCCTATTTGTCTAGTCCTCCCACGAGACCAAAGGCACACCAAGGGCAAAAGCTTCCACTACTGCGCCCTCAGAGCCTGGCACAGCGCCTGCACGTAGTGGGGGCTTGGCAAATGCACACTGTGCACATATTAAATGAGGCAAAGATGAAGTCGCCCTTTGTCGTTTGTATAAGCTCTCCTGGGAATGGAGATCTGGGCACAATGACCCATGGTGGATTTGACTTTTCCAGGTTACCTTTGAGGGGAAGGGGTGGCAGGGGCTCTGGGACGAGGGTGCATGCCTCAATCTGCACACACACATCTCTGATCCTGTCTCCGCCTCTCCCGTTACCTTCTTGGACACACCTGTGTCCTTTCTCCCTCTGGAGCGCTCCTGAGGCCAGCCCTGGCTGAGAAGTGAGTGGGTGGGGAGGGGAGGTGGCAGGGCTGGAACCCAGAGGGCATATAGGGTGGGCCGGGGGGGGGTTGGGAGGGGCTGCTGGGGCCACTCAGGGGCCTCATGCAGAGATGGGGATCTTCTGAGGTCTGGGGAGCCCATCGAGGTCAGGGGCTGCCCTGTCCTTGGGGCCGAGGCCCCTGCTGAGCAGCCAGAGCTGGGAGCACCTGTGCAGAAGCAGTGGCCCCAGCGGGAGGATCAGCGCCAGCCACGCCAGGCCCAGGAGGATCCAGATGGCCGCCAGGCTCCGGTACACTGAGATGTAATGCTTGCTGGGGTCCGTGCCTGCCGGGGAAAGGGACAGAATCAATGCCAGGGATCTGTGCCTGGGGGCACAGCCAGCCCCCCAGGTTGCAGAAGGGCCCTCCCCAGCCAGGACCCCTCCCTCTTCCTAACTAGCACTGGCAGTGGGTCCCAGACCACTGTCTTCCGAGGATGTGCTGGGAATCTGCAGTGGCCTCAGAATACCAGGGGCTGCGTGACCCTCAGTAGTTATCCTCAGCTGACACTTCTCCATCCCCTGAATCCCAGTGGACACCCCAGCCGGAGATACGTGACTATCTCGTTCTCACCCACAACGTAGTCCCCGAAGCCGATGGTGCTGAGCGTGATGAACGCAAAGTAGAAGCCCTCACGGAAGCTCCAGCCCTCCACGTGGCTGAAGACCAAGGGTGGGAAGATGAGGATGGCCAGTGTCCCCACGACCAGGAACAGAGCCAGGCCCAGGACCTGCAGGAGCTGTGAGGAGGGAGGGAGTCTGCCGCTGAGCCCACTTGAAGGGCTCCTGGGTTGCGTAGGGCGGGGTGTGTGGCGGACTTGGGAGCAGGGCTGCGTGACGCTACGCCCTCCCTGCTCTGCAGCCCTTGGGGCGGGAGTGTGCACGTGATCTGCGCACCAGTGATCTCGCCCCGCCAGGGCAGAGGGATTATGGTAGTGGGGCAGGGAGGGGTTTGGAGACCCCTTCGGGCTTGGGGCCACACTTGAACAGGCCCCCTGGGGACTCATACCTGGGATAGAGGACTGTCATTGAACCGTCCCATACTACTCTTGCACCCCTGCCCTGCTAGGGCGCCTCTGGCCTATGAGGGCCGGGCGGGGCGGGCACTGGGGCCGTGGTGGGTGGCCCAGAGCTTGTTTTCTGCTACACAAAAGGGTGTTGGGGCTCTGTCACAACCACAGAGATGCGCTGCCCAGGTGCCCCCGTTGAAGGAGGACTGTTGGCCAGCTGCCAGCTCCCAAAGGGTGCTCTTCAGCTGCAGGGAACTGCCTGGCCAAGGGCACGCTCTTCCTGGGAAGGGCCTAGCTGGTGCCTGATTGAGCCGGTGTCAAAGCCTAGGCCCAGGCTCTGTGGGACAACTCTGACGGCTTGCACGAGCTGCATAGCTCCTTGAGGCCAAGCCTTAGTCCAGCTGCACCAAAATTCAACCCCTCCCTCCGCCCAGTCCTGCATCTGCCCCTTCTCTTCCACAGGTGTCCACCCCAACACCTTGCATGCCAAACTCTGTCTCAGCATCTGCTTCTCGACCTGTGGTCCCCAACTCCTGGGCTGCTGTTAGGATAGGGGCCTCGAATCACCACCTGAGCTCCACACTCCTCCACCCCGGTCCCCCAGTCTGTGGGAAAATTGTCTTCCATGAAACCCATGCCTGGTGCCAAAAAGGTTGGGGCCCGCTGTTCTAGAGGACTCAACGTGCAACTGATCTGCCACAGCAGGGCTGCAAGGGAGGGAGGAGCCGTACCTGGGAGCGCCTGGGCTGGTCCTCCCACCTCTCGAGGGTGGCCAGGTGGGCACGCAGCCCTGTGCCCAGGTGGTTGAGGAAGACCACGTTGAGTGGGATGCCCACCAGGGCATAGAAGACACAGAAGACCTGACCTGCCTCCGTGCTGGGAGCCAGGTTGCCGTATCCTGCGAGGGAAGGGGAGTGTGCAAATACGGGGCCCAGAGTCCAGACTGCACCACTCCTCCTCCCCAGACTCTGACACAGGCTGTCTTCTGCCGCCTCTGGGGGCAGGTGGGGGAGCCCCCTCTTCCCGTGAACTCTGCTAGAATGATTTTTATTTGTAGGAATCCTGCTAATTTCTGAAGGCCCATCTCAAATGACACTGCCTCCAAGAAGCCCTCCTGACTGCCACTCTCTTCCTCCCTCTTGGGTGTAATTCCCCACAGTTTTGTGTCATTCTTATCTAATTATCTACTTTGCCTTATGTGATTGTTTTTGGTGTACCTATTGTATCCCTCTTTATTGGATTGGGGGGCCAAGGCTGGGTCTGATCTAAGTTCCTATCTCCCACCCCCTCTCCATCACTCTACCTGGAATGTCACCTGAGTTCAAGGGAGGTGTGTGGAATTGGACTTAATTGAATGGACAGGGAGACCTGGGTTGGGAGGGGCCTGGGGTGGGATGGAGGGTTTTCTGGCTGAGGGGGTGTAGCAGATGCTGTCAGTGCCCTGGCCCCTTGAACAACGGGGACATGCCTGCAGCTTTGGTGGACAGTTCCTGTATATAAACGACACTCCCCACTCCCCACTGCCAGTCTCTTCATTTCTCTCTACCCGAGAGATTTTTGTGGCTACATGAGTGTGCTTGGTCTACGGGCAGGTTTGAAAGTTAGTACACTCAGGATCAGCTCTCCACCAGCGAGAGCAGGAGTTGGTAGCTAAATAGCCCCTCATTCTTGTCCTCTGCGGGGACTGTTCTGAGCACGGGCTCTACCTGGGCTCTTGGGCAGTCTCAAGCACAGTGAGTCCAGTGACCAGAACCAGCAACCTGCTCATCACTGCAAACTTGATTTTCTCCTTCCCCCTGTTTCACTTGCCCACTCCCCACCTACCTGCGCTTCCTGAATCATCTCCTAGATAAACCACACCCTGTCTCAGCGTCTGCTTTGGGGAAGCCCACACTGAGACAGGGGCCCTCTCCACCCCAGCCCTTTACCTATGGTGGTGACGACCGTGCCCGCAAAGAAGAAACTGCTGCCAAAGTCCCAGTTGCTGGGGTTGGTGGAGTTGCCTTTGGGGTTCACACCTTTCACCCAGGCTTCCATGATGACCTGTGGGGGCGGCACGGCAGGGGAGGAAGAGGGAGCTGGTGGTTACTGAGCACCAGCTGTCACATGCTCTTAGCAGGGTGCATTGGTGTCATCTCAATGATACCCTTAGACAGTGCTGTTCCCCTTTCATGGGAAAGGAAAAGACGCTCAGACTGGCTAAGTGACTTGCCCAAGGTCACTGGACTCCCAGCCAGTGCCTGTCCACTGGCCAGGGCCGACCGTGGTGTGGGCTGTAAGCCCAGATGCTGGAGGGAAATGGGCCCAAGGAGGTGAGATGGGGGATGCCTAACGGGGGCCCCAGTGGGAGATGCTGCCACGAGGATGACACACGAGTGGGTTGTTAGAACAATGGGGGGATTTCAGGTTGGATGTGCCCAGAAGGGTTTTCTGGGGAACTTGGGCTTTGGGAACCACAGGGAAGCCTTGGGGCTCGCTGCCCCCCAAGGCCGATGGAGGGGCACAAAGGACCCTGTGGTCTCTGAGATTCCAGGTGAGCGGGCAGCCTTGCTCTTTGCTGCCCTCTAGTGAGCCCCAGCCCATGCCTGCAGGAGGAGTTCCATCAGAGGCCAGGACAGAGGTTGCGTGTGCATGTGTGTGTGTATGTGTAGTGGTTGGTGTATGTATATGGTGTGTTGTATACATGTTGTGTGTGTGGCTACTGTATGTTGCATGTGTGTTTACAGAACCTGAAGCTTTGCAGGCTCAAACCTAACACGCCCCACCCCCAACCCCTGGGCCCAGCCCTCTTGGAGATGGACAGGGCTCCCTCCTCCCCTGCCCCCAACCCTGTCCCCTTTCAGCACAGCCTTGTCACCAGGTAGAGCCCCAAAGACAAGGGGTGGTGGGGGTGGGGTGGGCACGGCAGCTCCGGCTTCCAGTTCCTGTGGGAACCGTCTCCCACTGGCTGGGTGAGTGTGCTCTGGCCGGGGTGGGGTGGCCTGGGCCAGTCTGGGCGTCCTCAGTCACAGGCTGTCTGCTTCTCCTCACTTTGGCAGGAACTGGCCTCTTAAGACGTGGACTTTGGCCTTTCTGTCTTTCCCACACACCCGGAGAGGCCGGGCCAAACAGTGGCTAACACGCCTGCTCCCCAGAGACCCTCCCCGCTGTGGGCAGCACTCACCCTAGTCCTGGGCTATGCCAAGCCCCAGGCTCTCTGTCCTCCTGAGGAGGGCCTTGACATCGGGATGGTGCTGAGAGCAGGTGGGGGGTGCAGGGGCAGTGGCGTTCTCTTTGCTAAGAATCGCGCGTAGTAGAGAAAGAGGCAGACCTCCCAGTTCTGTGAACCTGGGCAAGCCGCGCTTCCTCATGGAACCAGTGTTTAATGCTGCTTTGAACACTGTTCATGGTTGTGTGTGCGTGGTACATGGTGACTTCAACAAGAATGTGTGTGCTCCTAGAATCTCACCCCAGCGTTCTTCTGCCAGCCCGACTGCCCCTGGCAGGAGAAGGTCTCTCCTGAGGCTGAGGACTCTCCGGGAAAGAGGTGTCCCGTCTTCCCTGGGGAGGCCCCTTGGGGCTTCAGGCAAGCCAATGGCCTTGGTCCTCCTTCTTGGTTAGGTCTCAGATAGCTCCGTGAATCCTTCCCACGCCCTCTGCCCCCTGCTCTTGTCTCTAACCCAGGGCTGAGGAAGGAGGGGGTTTCAGGGTCTCCAGGGCTTTTGCCTTACCCTGGGGTTTGGGGAAGCTCCTGAACCTTTCTCAACCCCGGTACGGGTACCGTGGCCCCAGCCTTGACGAACCCTGTCCGCTAAGGAGCAAGGAAGTGAAGCTTGAAGCCAGAGGCCTCATTTCCTGGAAGAAAGAGCCAGACTAGGTCTCTCACAGCTCCAGAAAGTTCTCTCTGAGCACCAGTCCACACATCATCTTCTAGGCCAGCTGTTCTCACTCTTGAGGGGGCCTAGCATCACCTGGGGGCTTGCCTGCCGCCCCAGCCTGGAGTCCGAGTCAGCAGGTGTGGGTGGGGCCCGCACATTTGCATTTCCAACGAGCTCCGGGTGATGCTACTGGGCCTCTGTGAACCGCTGCTCCGGGCTATGTCCTGGCCCTGGCACTTAGGCTGATCTTCCTGGTGAAGGACAAGAGCTCCACAGCCAGCTCTGTCTCCACCAGTAACTGTGCAGCCTCTGCCGACAGACTCCACCTCTCTGTGCCCCAGGTCCCATCTGCAAACTGGAGCTAGTGATAGTAACAGGAAATTATGAGAAAACACCTGTACAATGCCATGTCAGGCAATGGGTCATGACGGTCGTGTCCCCAGTGTTTTAGGCACATGGCAGGTGTTCGGTAAGTACCAGTTATGATGATGAATCTGCACTTGGTCTGTTCCTTTGCAGTAGGTGTTGCCACTTGCTCAGCTGTGTCTCAAATGCATTCACTTTCCCCTATGACACCTACTTTTGCCTTGTTTCTGGGAGAGAGGGAAGTAGAAGGGGCCCAGGCAGGGGGTGACCCGCTCTGCCACCAGGGGAGAGTCCTCCATGGGTGCAGCGCTGGCAGGGCTCAGTCACCCTGGCCGCTGCCCACCAAGCCCAGCTCCAGGTGGAATGAGGCCGGGGAAGGCCAGCTTGGGGCCGTTCCTGATGTTAACCTGTGTCTCCCACCCGCAGCCCCCAGCCCAGGGACGTTCGCTGGGGAGAAGGCAGAGGGAATGGCGGCCCTGGAGTGTGAGGGAAGGAAATTTGGACAGCGTTGGTAACACTGACACACGGTTCACATTTATGCAAGTGACGGCCTAGAGAATGCCTTTAATCCGCTGTCAAATGTCTGCAGCACAGATGTGATTGTTCTCTTTGTCTTATAGGTGAGGACATTGGGTCCGGAGAGGTTACATGACCTGTTCAAGGTCGCACAGCGATCCAGTCGTACACCTGGAGCCAGAATCCAGGACTAGGACCTACCAGGCTCTCTTCCCACCACACTCTGCTCCCAAACAGGGCATCAGTCCCTGGGTGGTGACTCTGGACCTGCCACGAGAACCGCCATTCCTCCCACCTTCCCAAGACTCTCCATCCCAGGCCCACGTCGTTCCCTTCGTCACCTGCACGAACTGCTCCAGGGCCTGCTGGTCCAGGCAGGTGTAGTTCTCCAGGAAGCGCAGCTTCTCAAACTGAAACTCGTACCTGGACTGGGCCTCCGCCTGCCTCTCCAGCAGCTGGAAGACGGTGGCGCCGAGGAGCAGGTAGCAGACGTAGGCCAGCAGCAGGGGCAGCGCCCGGCCACCCCAGCAGCCGCGGAGCCCGGCCCTGGGCATGGCGCGGCCAGGACCCTGCCAGGGCCTGGGGGGCTAGCTGCGGGGGCAAGGCGGGAAGCAGGCAAGGAGCACGCGCCCTGGTACCTGCGCCCGGGCTGCTGCCGGCCCTGCCCTCCTCCTCGGCACAGGTGTCTGAGCGGGGGACACTGTTTAAACAGTGCGCAGCTCAGCTTGGCTGCACTAAGTGCCCTGAGTGCAAACAGGCCTGCCACCCCCCACCTGGCCTTTTTTTTTTTTTTTTTTTCCATGGATAGCAGCAAACCAGTGTCATGGACCCCTCAAAGAGACCTACCGGGTTCTCCTGAGCTCATCGTGTCTCACCCTCTGCCCTCAAGCAGGATGGATGTTTCTGGGTAAATCTGACCTGTGCACCCTCTGCCCAGGCCTGAATGGGCTCTCTCGCCGCCCCTACTCCATCACCCGTGAAGCTACAAGCCCCCAAACTCAGGAGCCGGGAAGAGATCAGAACAGGTGTGAACGAACCTTCCACTCAGTTGCCTTGGCTACAAAATGGGGCTAGGAGAATTGCCTGCTTATTGGGGGAACCCCGGGATGAGTAATCTGGGTGACAAATCAGGGCGAAGTAAATAGACAAATGATAGTCTCACTCAGGGATAGGACCAGGGTTGACGCTGCTAATAAATTGGACGCATTGCTTTATAACTCTTGCTGATAATTTATCTTGCTTTAAATCCTTTAGCAGGCTACTGTCAGACGGCAATTTATTGATTGGTGAAATGTGTGTGTGAGGAAAAAAGGAACTTAAAGTATATCCTGGTCCTGGGGTAGGAACTCTCTCTGAGTAGGTGGAATTGGGGGTGTTCTCCTTCTTCTTCTTCCTTGCTTCTGTGTGTGTGTGTGTGTGTGTGTGTGTGTGTGTGTGTGTGTGTTTGTAACAACCTTATGGAGATACAGTTCACATACCACACCATTCACACATTTAAAGTGTACAAGTCGATAGTTTTTAGTGTATTTACAGAGCTGTGCAACCATCACCAGTCAATTCTAGAACATTTTTATCACTTCAAAGAGAAACCTTGTACCCTTTAGCTGTCGACCCCCTGCCCCCACCCCACCCCCTTCAGCCCCCGGCAGCCATTTATCTGCCTTCTCCCTCCGTGGCTTCCCATCCCGGGCAACTCACATGAATGGAATTAGATGACACATGGCCCTTTGTGTCTGGCTTCTTTCACTCAGTCTACTGTTTTCCAGGACCATCCACGTTGTAGAATGTGCCACTCCGTCACTCCCCTCTGTGGCCGAGCAACGTGTCATGATATAGCCGTGCTGGGTAGACTGCATCCGTGTGTCCATTTGGTGTCCCGTTGGCGGACATTTGGGTTGTTTCTATTTTTCCCGTTATGAATAATGCTGCTGGGAACGTTTGTGTTTGAGTTTCTGTGTGGACGCGTTTCCATTTCTCACAAATGCCCACCGATGACTAGAATTGCTGGGCTGTATGGCCACTTTACAGTCTGCGTTGAGCTTTTTGAGGAACTGCCAGACTGTTGAGGTGGCCGTGGTATTTTATATCCCACCAGCACAGTGTGTTGTGTTTTCTGACACTTCCTTTGAAGAGCCGTGGCGGCAGACACTGATTCCCCAGCCAGCAGAACCCCAGCTTTGCCCACGTCCACCCGGGCGATGGGGCATGACCGGCCGACCCCGTCATGGTAACCCTGCTCCCCACGTCCTAGGCCAAGTTCCCCAGGAGCAGCCCCAGGAGGGCGATGCCCACAGGTGGCAGAGGAAGTGAGGCTACAGGGCGTGGGCCAGGGGAGGCACCGCAGCCCCAGCGCGGCCTGGCCCTGGGGGCTCTGCTGCGGGAAGGGTGCCCCAGGCAGTCCCAGGTGGAGGGAGGGCCCCACACCCGGCAGACCTGTGGGCACTTCTGGCTCTGCGCGTGCAGGCAAAATGCAGAGGAGCCCAGGGGCAGGCCGGGCCGCGGAGGAGAACCACATTAAAGCCTGGGACCCACTTTCCCAAGCCCCCTTTGCAGCTGGGGTGGCCGAGTGACCTAATTCTGACCATAACTGGGCAGAGGTGGCGGTGGAGCTTTGGGGCCAAGTTGTTCTGACCGAAGGTCTGGCTGCAGCTGGCCCCACTCCTCTCCCTCTTTCTGCCCGGAAGGCACAGCAGGCTGGGCCTGCAGAGCCATCTTGAGCCCATGCCAGATAGGTCAAGGGGATTGCTTAGAACTAAGTTCAGCCGGTGGATCCACACACCTAGCTCTAGGTTTCTTTCTACGTTAGAAACATAAACCTTGTTTGTTTCAGCCACTGTTAGGCATTCTGTTACTTTCCAATGGTTCTTTTTAAAAAAAATTGTTCAAGGCTTATTTGAGTTGGAGGGAATAGGAACATACTCCAGTTAAGTAATCGAGACGATCTGTTGTAGGAGCCAGGAGCAGCCACCATCAGTGTGGCCTGGCCACCCTCCGCAGCTGGGCCCCCTCTACCCGTCCTCCCAGTCTCTGCTCTGCCCAGGGCTCTGCTGCGGGCTTCAGCTCCTGTTGCCCCCACTTCTTTCTCTGTGTGATTCTTGGCTTAAACCTTCTCTGGAGGGGCTGGGCGTCCACGAGTACCTTTCCATGGTGGGCTGGCCTTGGGTCAAGTGCCACCCTCGGCTGACCTGCCCCAGCCAAGGGGGTGGGGGTGTCACATGTGCAGACGTCACTTGGAGGGCGCTGTGGCGGGGCAGACACCGTGGCCGGTCTGTCCAGGACAAGCGCCGATGGTTTCTGTAGTAAGGAGAGAGTGGCAGAGCAAGAGCGCTTATAGACATTGAAGAGCAAGGGGCAGAATATTACTATTTTCAGGTGTGTGAAGGATCAAGAGAGTGGCAATAACATAGTGTTCTTCATCTACTCTGAGGCCAAACCCGAAACCAAACCAAGCAAAAACACCACCACGTCACAGCGAGCAGAGGTGAGGCGGAGCTGTGTAGACCGTGCGCTCGGAACCTGCGCGTGGCAGGTGCGGAGGAGGGCCTTTCATCCACCTGTGGTCTGCACGGGGCCCCGCCTGGGGGTGGTGCGATGGGACCCCATCTCTGGAATATTGTGGCTTCTGAATTCCTCCGAGGCTGTCTGGCGGTCTGGGAAGTGATTCTGCACAAGCCGCACCTTACGCGGTCCCGGAGCATCCCGGGCAGCACGGTGTCGGGATGTGGGCTTGTCTTGGAGGGAGAAGAACGCATCTGGAGTCACAAAAGTCATGCTTGCTTGCTTTTCCTTTGTGTTTCTGGAGAGATGGGGTAACAGAGCGCTGGCGGCCATCCCTACTACAGACGCGCCATGCCCAGCTTAAGCAGGGTTGGAGTTCCACCTGAAAGGCCGAGTGGTAACCAGACCCCGCTGATTGCCTTAGAGAAGCTCAGGGTGTCATTTAGAGGCTCATCAGCGATGTCCAGAGGGCCTCAGGCAGGACTGAGCAACCCCTGCAGTGCTTCCTGGTTGTTCTAAGGTGGGAGGAAAGGAAGGAACGAGAACGGACTGCCTGCACGGGAGAAAGGGGTGAAGGCAGCGAGCTGGAGGGATGTCGGGGACAGGCTGGGCTAGGGGGAAGGCTGGATCAGGCCCTGGGCAGGAAGCGGCACCAGGTTCACCAGGGTAGACGCTGCATTCGTTTAGGGACTATCTACTGAGAACCCGCCAGGTGCTGGCGAAGCTGGCCGGAGCCGTGGCCTCCTCCCTCCCCGGGCTGCTCTCCCTCCCCTGCTGGTGCTCCTGCCTCTCGCCTTTCTTCTGCATGCACCCGTCACATTTTCCTCTTGCACTCGGGTTTGTCCGTAGCCCAGCAAGGCTTAGCCTGACTGGGTTTAGGATACAGTCTTTTTCAGGAGCGTATCCGGCTGAATGGGGGACTGCTGAAAACCCTACGGCCACAAAAGCCAATGAAGCGGTACCATGGGGGTAGACTTTTGGGGAGACCTCAGCTCAGGAGGTCCTCAAAGCTCTCTGCACCCGAGAGGAAGCCCTCCTTCTTCTTTCCTTGCTTCCTTCCCGTACTCATCCTCCCATGCTCACTGAGGGCCCTCTCTGTGCTGGGACCTGTTAGCTCCTTTTCCTAGTCTGCCATGGTCTTGTGAGATCAGCCCTTGGTCGGGTTTAGGAGAGAACCGCAGGGACCTCCCTGCCCGACATCTCCCCCTGTGGGTGCCCCCCTGCTGTGAGCGAGGAACGGACACAGGGCATGATTTACAACCCCTTTCTGGGAATTATTGCTGCTAATGGGCAGAGCCAATTTGTGCTTCCCCAGGGGAGAGGGCAAAATCAATTAATGGAAAGTCTGACATGACCAGGCCTGGTGGCAGAGCGCGGCCTGACATCCGGAGGTGATAAGGGACTTTCTGAGGCTGAACTAATAAGGAGATTGGGGAAAAAGAGGAAAAACAAACCCCCCAGATCAATTCCATGTACGATGGGCAGAGAATGCAGAGCAAACAGAGCAGCTGGCACTGGCCTCTTTCCGTCTGAACGAGCCCCGAGATAAGGGCAGGACAGGCCGCCCACCCCCCACAACATAGGTATTCACTTATGGTGTCACTCGATAGACACGTATCCGCACAGGTGAAAAAGGACACTCTCCAAACTGGAACCAAGGGGAGAAGATAAGGCCCACCTGTCCCGGGCACATGCCCTGCAGCAGAAAGGGCAAGTGGGGAGAAAGAGTGCAGGTTGCAGATCCTGCCACCCCCACTGAGCCCTCCAAGAGATGGCACCGGGTGGCTGGAGTGGCACCTTCTGGCCGTGGGTGCTTGGGCTCCTGGAGGTCTCCCCACAGTGAAGGGTGAAGGACAGTGTCCTGTGTGGAGGTGGGGGTGGCGCAGGCACGTAGGGGTTTTATCTGTCCTCGTGAACAGAGAGCATGAGCTCAGAGGGCGTCCGGACCGTCTGTGATCGCAAGGGAGGGCAGGCAGGGACAGCTGAGAGGCAATCCGAGGGAAAGCCTCGAAACAGACAGACAACAAACACACCCGTTACTGATCTTGTTCGGAAACTGTTTTGTTGTTGTTAAGGAGCAGGATTCTTTTCTCATGTGAAACCTAACAGTGGGGCTCTGGCTGACGTGGGGGTGGAGGCCCCCCTGTTTCCAGCAGCCCAGAGAGCTCGACTGCAAGAGGGCCGAGCCATGACTCTGAAATGGATGTCCCAGTCTAAGCGGCACGTCCCTCAGAGCAGGTCCTGGGGCGCAGCGGGCTGTGAGCCGTCTGTCTGGGACGGGATAGCAGGAAGCACGTTCAGGGAGGAGGGGAGAGGGACCGGGAAAGGAAGGCAGCCAATTCGGGGTGCATTACTGAGCAGATGACTGCTGTGGGCAACTAGGGTTCCATCCTGCTGGCCCTCTGGGACACTGTGGAGAACGCACTTTCAAGGTGTCCCACAGAGTGGCAAGGAAGCCCAGGTGTTTCTCCACCAACTCCTGGCCCTTGCTAGTTGGAGATTTGTGCAGGGGGAGCTAACTCCTGCACTGCCAGTTTGCCCTGCGCATGAGCTGAGAGTGCTCCTGCAGCTGCCCGGGACAGAAGCTATTGGCGCAGACGGGGCTGCCCACTGGAGCTGCATGTGACCTCCAGGTGGGCTGGGGGTGTGGGCAGGGCGTGACAGTGTCTGTCACAGCCTCCTGGTTCTCCACTCCTTTCTCTGGGTCACTGTGGTTTATAATTCCTGCAGGGAAGTTGCCCATCTGGGAACCTTAATGGAGGGGTAGTAGGCTTGCCCCAGCACATCGGGAAAATGTCCTCGGAAGCGTGACAAGAGAGGGAGGAACGGACCCCTCTCTGCTACTGGCCACTAACATTGAAAAAGGTGAGGTGGGCCTCAAAGGATCCACTGGACACCCCATGGGAATGGATCCCTCTCCAGACTATGGGAAAACCCAGAGTGGCCAGAGGCGTGGGCGCTCTGCAGTGAGAAGCCGGGCATGCCGTGGAACGGGGTGGGGGCGAGGGGTGTGGGGTGTGGCCAGGACAGGGAGGAGCTGCGCCTCTCCAGGGCCCGGGACAGACAGTGAACTGAGAGACCCAAGAGCAGAGATGGAGCCAGAGTCCCTCTTGGGTGTGTGAGGGTCCTGGCAAATATTTTTTATGCATATAAATTTGATGCAAAAAACATAGTACCAAATTCATGAGCCCATGTGAGGTACAGCGATTTATTTGTGTAGATTTACAATAATGATAGAAAAGAGGTACTTAAGGATTTATTTATTGTCTAATTAGTTCACGTGAAGATTCTTTGACCTACAGTAGACTGTAACAGTCATTTAAATCAGCATGTCAGCACCGGTCAGATGGCCCAGTCTCACACAGTGCCATAAGAGCCACACCGGCCACCAGCAGGGATCTGCTGCCCAGGCTGCTCTCTGGTGCCAGGGACTGACCAGGAAGCCCCAGACAGCCACACAGGCACAGGCAGGAGTCCTGGAGCACCTGGGGACATCTGGTCGACCCCACGAATGAGCTGAGAGCTCCTTGAAAGAAGAAAATGGAACTGAGGCCCACAAGGGGCCTGGTCTAGGTTAGGGGTGGCCCGCAAGGATGACATTGTTGGTCACGGCTGGTCCCAGCACCAGAAGGAGACTTAGAAAGTTCCTAGCAATGCACTTGGATGTGCGGGGCCGCCTGAGCCATGGGGCCGAGGGCAGGGGAACTGCTTGCCTCGGTCTAAGGACAGTGACGGGAAAAACAAACCCAGAAGGTCATTCAGAGAAAAGATAACTGCGGTACCACACACCTGGGGCCGGAGGGGCTCGGTCCTGGCCTGGGGAAGGGCTGGTTTGTGCGAGGGGGAGGTGAGCGAGTTGAGAGGGAGGACTACAGGACTGGTGCACTGCTCGCTCCGTGCTCCAGCTCCCCGAGTGTGGGTGAAGCTGGCTCAGCCCTCTGCCTGGAACCCCAAACAAAGCAGTTAACTCTAGAGAGGGTTGCTGCCTCCTCCCATTCCTTGAGAGAAGCTTCCAGGGCCTCATGCAGAGGCCACTTCTCCTGTACCAGGGGAAGCTCTCCCAACCTTTCTGCACCCAGTTTGCCTTGAAGCCCTGGCAGTCCCTGGACGCGTGTCGTGGGCGGGGCCCTGTGTCCCCGACATGCTCACAGGGCTCAAAGCCCCGCAGAGCTCCTTTCAGCCCCGCCCCACGTCTCATGCCTCCCCGTCACCCCGCACCTGACCCACCGCGACAGTGAGCTGAGGCCCATCTTCCCAGCCCCAGCTCCTTCCTGCTTCCTTGATTGTCCGTCTCCCTAATTAGAAGGCGAGTTCCCAGAGGGCTGGCGCTTTCTCTGTCTTAGACACCTCCAGTGCCTCAGGACTTGGCACGGTGGATGGCACAGCCTCATTAAAAGAATGACCAGACGAATGAGCCACGGTTTCATTTAAGTAATCACAGGGGGCATTTTTCTGCCTATATTTTAAACACACATTTATCGTATTTAAAAAAATGTTCTCGTCTACTTATTCTACCATCTGTGTCATTCCTGGGTTCTGTTTCTATTTCCATTGATCGGGTTTTCTCCTCACTATGGGCCATACTGTCCTGCTTCTTTGCATGCCAGGTAATTTTTTTTATAAGACGCCAGGCATTGTGAATTCGACATTGCTGACTGCTAGTTTTGTTTTTCTTCTTTCTGGTATTCCTTTAAATAGTTTTTAGGCCTTGTTTTGGGACTCAGTGAAGTTACTTGGAAGCTTAGTGGAAACGGCTGGACTCTTCCGAGGCTTACCTTTGCAGTTCTGTTGGGGCACCAGAGCAATCGTTCATCCGGGGCTAATTTGGCCCCACTTCCAGGGCAATACCCTTGTGTCTCTACTCAGTGACCCTGTTGGGAGGAGGTTTCCTCACTCTGGCTGTTGGGAACGTGGACTATTCCCAGCCCCGTGTTATCTCTGGAAATTACTCCAGCTGCCCCTTTCTGGAGGTTCTCTTCCCTGCTTTGGGTAATTTCCTCACGTGCACGTGTTGATGGGTAGTTTGCTGAAGATGCCACAGTAACTCTCTGAAGATCTCCAAAGCATGTTCTCTCTCCCTCTCTCTTCCCCTCTCTCTCTGGAGCCCTCCCATCTCTGGAACACCGCCTTACAAATTTAAGCCACTCTGGCCTCCCGGGACTCCCAGCTCCATCTCCTCAACTCAGGGGACAACTCGGCTCCACCTGGTTCCCTTGTGGAGCTGCAGCCCGGCACTCTGTGGGCAGCAGTCAGTTGGAGCAATTATAAGGCTCTCCCCATTTGTCTCCCTTCTCTTCGGAACCAATGCCTTGTACTATCCAATGTCTGGAAACCACTGTTTCATATACAGAATTTTGCCTGGTTTCTCTGGGCTGAGAAATTCTGGATCTAGTCATGTGCCTTCTCTGGGTTTCAACTTCTGTATCAGTCAGTTAGTGCTACAGTTAGTGCTGTGTGTAAACCACCCTGAACCTCAGTGGTTTGTGACTAGGGCATTTATTCTCATGATACTAGGTTTTGGGTCAGCCGTGGCTCGGCCGATCTGGGCTGGGCTTGACTGGGAAGCTCTGCTGCAGGTCGAAGACTGGGCCAGGTTTGCTCTCTTTTTTCCAGGACGTGGGCTGAGGGGGCAGCAGCTACCCAGGGGTGATCATCTCAAGGCGCATCACGGGAGTGCACGAGGCGAGCCCAACCATGCGATCACATTTCAAGCCTTTGCTTGTATCACATTTGCCAATTTCCCATTAGTCAAAGCAGATCTCAGGGCCAAGGCCAAATTTAAGGCTTAGAGAAGCATGCTCTGCATCTGTGAGGCCATGACAAAACTTTGGATGTATAATTCTATTAGTGGTGGTGAAGAATTAAGACTAGTTATTCACTATACCACAGTTTCTCTATCTGCTTTCTAAAAATCCTTTTTTTGCAAATCCTTTTTTTGCAAGATCATTCCAACTTTTTCCCTTCAATCTCCCTCCACCTCACTAACTGCCAAGGCAATGGTAGAGCCAGTTGAATTCTAGCAGGGACTGGGTTGGGGTCACTGGCCAGGCTGCTTTCCAGAAAATATTTTAGAAAACACCACATTTTGGCCTGGAGTGAACTCAGGTACTTCTTGTCATCCATGGCTCCACTGAGCCCAGGTCCATTGCCGGAGGGTCTTTTTAAAGCATTCCATCCATTTCTTCCACTGGCCAAGGCCAATCAGCTTTGGAGAAGGTGCGCTGTAGTCAAGCATGTGTCGGCCCAGCTTCCACCGGGAGGGGACATGTGGAGCAGGAGGCTCCCTGACCAGTTGCTGCACACACTTTGCATATGACCTGCTTAGCAGGACACTAGTGGCCCCAGATTCCCAGGCTGTTTTTCTGTTTTCGTCATTCCCTTCCTTGCCTTAGAGATGGCTCTGGGAGGCTGGTTCACACCCCGCGTGGGCCCACGGCGCACATCTGTCAATAAGGCCTGTGGCTCCAGGAGATAGTGTCTCAGGGGGAGATCTAAAGTCAACAGACTCCGACCAGCTCTAGAGGGCTGATGTCACTAAGGTGTGCTAGGAACACGCTGCTGTTTCATCAGAGGGGACTCTGGCGAACTCAAGCCGTCCTCACGACTACGGAGAGTGTGTTTGCGTGTGTGTACGTGTGCACGCATTTATACGTGTGTCCTGTGGACTCGTGGGGAGGCTTTTAGAATCAGAATTTTGTCTTCCCCTGGTTCTCTAGACGTTACCGAGGGATTAACCTGTGCCCTAGAGCTGCGGGGGCCACGGAGACTTGCCCCAGTGGGACTCAGTCACGGAGCCAGAGGGAAGCGAGGGCAGCGGCAGCAGGCTGAGAAGCACATGTGGGTTCGGGCTCTGCCTCTAATGGATCGAAGAGCGATTTATTGAACACAGACTCTGTGCTTGGGACACAGCAATGAACAAGACAAGCAGGTCCCTGTTGTCATAAAGCTTTTAGTGTTAATATCATGAGGCGGGGGGGGGGTTGCAGGTCATTGAAAAAATAAGCAAGTAAAGAAAGATGATATGTCAGGGGGTGATGAAGAAAACAGAATGGTAACGAGATAGAGAGTAACTAGGGGGTTACTCTGGATGGGGTGGTCAGGGAAAGCCACCAGAGTAGGGGACATCTGCCACTAACTAGTGTGTAACAGCAAGCCAACCTCCCCTTTGCTTCAGTCTTCTAATTATAAAAACTAGGGGTGTGGACTAGAGGAGCTCTTTGGGCCTGCCTAGCTTTGAAATGTAATGATTTTATCTTCTGTGTGATCCCTTTACCCAGTACTAAAAAAGGAAAAACAACAAAAAAGGCCAATTATAAAAAAAAAAACCCAAGCCAATTATACTGCATCAACTCTCTGTTCCCCCTCCAGGGTCATGAGGTCCTGTATCTATAGGACAGAGATGGCAGGAGCAGTGGACAAGCACTTTTATTCGGTTAGCGTCATTCCCAGGTGCCATCCCCTCCCTCCCGCCACTGCTCCTCCCCGGCTGCAGCTGGGTTGGAACCCCCTGACCTGGGGGCAGTTCTCCCAGGGCTTCCTCGAGTGCAGGCCCCCCTTCCCCTGGATCGTGTCACTGAGCCAGTGCCCGGAGTGTTGGCAGGGCCCACTGAGACAAGCCCCCTGGGCAGCTGTGTTTTTCTGTGGGAGTGGGGAGTGTTGGCCCAAATCCTGCGAGGCCCCACGTGGCTAGGTAAAGGTTGCAAGCCCCGAGGTGCCCATGCTGCCCTCTCTCGAGCATTCTGCAGAGCTCCTGGGAGCTGCCCACTGTCCACTATTCTCTGATGCTGCGATGTCCAGACTCTGCGGGGTGGCTGGCTCCGTGGAGACACGGCCACTCAGAAATGCCTACAGCTCATGCAGGCCATGCGGGCGGCGGGGGAGGATTTGGCCTGGGAGACTGAGAGTAGCCCTGAAGACGTCCTGCATTCCACTGCTTTGCCCGTGGCTCAGACACCCTGCCTGTCCTGTCCCTGCCATTCTTGGGTTCTGAACCAGGGGGTGGGCCAAGAGAATAGGCAGTAGTAAATAGCTAAAAATAACTGATTGTTATTCCCCCCACATTCCACCAGTGTGAGCTTCCCCCGTCACTATATTATGATGGTACTATTTCCTAATCTCCAAACTTTATAATTATCTATGTGAACATCACCATAATAGTGAGCGGAAGCCCTGGCATTGCCCAGCCATCTCGGCAGCCCCAGCAACCACAGGGAAGATGTCACCATCAGCCCTGGCCCCAGCCTCTCTGGTGGCCTCCAGGCACCATCCTTAAGGACACACAGCCCTCTCCATTGGAGTGAAAGTCACCAGGTGCTCCCAGCAGCCCACAGACCACTTTGGAAGCCAGAGCAAGTGAGGGGCGGTGCCTTCGTCTGTACTTCATTCTTGCTGCCACAGTGCACGGCCGGAGCCTCACTGGGAATTCAGTTGCTTCCCAAACCTGAAAGGAGACAGGGTGCTCTTGGTTAGGCTGAGCGCATGGGCACTGACTTCTCCCAGGATTGAAGGAGGCGGGGAGGCTGCTGGCCCCCCCACCCCCGGGCAGTGCGTCTCTGTGTCCTGCCCCCCCACGGGCTGCATCTACTTCCCAAGCTCTGAAGGAAGATGCCTCCTTTGCTTTTGCAAAAGCCCCATCTCCCTGAGGCAGGACCAACATGCATTTTCCAACGCTGAGGTTTTCACCATCCCTGCGACTTAATCCTTGGAGAGATTCTCTCCTTGCTTTTTGCTCCACATATCAACTATATTTCAGGATGGCTCCTCATGAACACTTGGCCCCCCTTCTGCCCCCATCCCCTATTGCTGGGCACAGAGAAAGGGTCTCTGGATCAAGAACCAGAGCCCCTGAGTTCTAGCCAGGATGGCCCCAATCCATGGTATGACATTGGCCAAGTCATTTCAGTTTTCTGGTCCTCACACTCCTGACTTCCAAATTGCTAGAGCAGACAGGTGCGTAGAGAAAGCAAGGTAGCCGAGATGGCTCCTTACTTCCCAAAGCGTGGTCCACGGGCCAGCAGTGTGGCCGTTTCCTAGGATCTTCTTAAGAAACATGGAGTCATGGGCTCCATCCAGACTTACTGGATCAGAATCTGCATTTTAACAAAGCCCTTAGATTCACTGGCACACCCAAGTGTGAGAAAAACTGGTATGAGTGGTAACCGGTTATTTTGCTTAAAGGTTGGCTAACATAATATCAGTAAGAGCAAAAGGGAAACTGAGGTTCTTGGATGAAGTAATGAACAGAATGTTTAAGAAGAATTGCAGTGTGCAGAGAGACTGAGGGGCGGGCCTGGTCAGGGCCGGGTGAGCAGGGACCTGGAGCCACCCAGGCGTGGCCAAGCGTCCCAGCAGTGGGTGAAGAGTGCAGGCTCGGGCTGCTTGATGCTGATGAGGAGCAATCCCTAATTCTTGGTGACACACTGAATGTGGAGGGTGGTGGGGAGGAAGAGGTTGAAAAATATTGTAATTCAAGGCTAAGGGCCCTTGGTCCTTCAGGCGTAATTCTGTGTGCAAGACCCCGAGCTGGCCTCACTATTTAATTAAACAGAGATGGTCCTCATCTTTAAGACATTCTGACCTGTCTTAATTAAATCCTGGAGCAGGAAGGAAGAAGACAAGGCGAATCAGAGCTTACAAAGGCGTGTGTTCCATCCAGCCACTCTGGGTCTGTGGTTCCTAGCTCCGCTGCACCTTGGAACCCCTGGGCAGCCTTTAGAAATCCTGATGGCTGGGCCACACCCAGACCCATGACATTGGGATATCTACACTGAGCCCAGGTGATCCTGATGCACGGCCAGGGCTAAAATCCCCCACTTTCTTCTCTCTAGACCAAGATCGGTGGGGCAGGAACCGGTGACCACTGGGCTTGTGGCTGCTGACGATTGGGGTCTGACGTTCCCTGTGCCCTGCTGACAAGCTACCGGGCCAGGATCTGTCAGCCCACTGGTGGCAAAGAGCCGGGATCTGAGCTCCGCCCAGGACGGCCCCCGACTTCCGCAGACCCTTGCCCGCTGCAGGGAGAACACGCCTCGCTCCCAGACCTCAGCGCCAAATAAGGCCCTATCTCTAGTGCATTCGATTTATGAGCCCCAGTTAAGGGGTGAAGTCTGTCTATATTGGGATTTTGATTGCCGTGGGCTCCTGGAACGGAGGGTACCTCGACAGACATGCCATTAGAAAAGAAAAACATCACGCCTCATGGTACCGGGCCAGTCCTCACGCCGGGGGCCAGCCCCCCTACTGACAACTCCCTGGTTCCTGGCAGTTTTTGAGGGACGTTAATGGATTTATCTCAGGAAGGCTCATGGCCTGGGCAAGGGTGGAATCTGTACAGGACAGACACTGAGGAGGAGGCTCAGGGAGGTGACCCGCCCAGTGTCACACAGGGCAAAAGTGGCCCTCGAATTTGGTCTCTTTCCTCCCAGTCCCGTGCTCTTTCCCCTCCCAGGGGGGCTTCTCCGGGAGAGGCTGGAGGGGCTGGGAGGGGCAGCCCCTTCCCGGCACCTCCTGGAGAAGACGGATTCGTTGTTAGGGGGGTCACACCTGCAAAGATTCCTTTCCAGATGGAAACGCGTCCAAATTTAGGGATTAAGGGAGATTAAAAGCAAAAAGGCCCTCTAGAAAGGGGTTACGTTCATTTTCTCAGAGGTAAAGACTGTCCTTGGCGGCTGGAAAAGGCAGATGGGACTGCATGGATGACTAACACCCCTTATGGGGGACATATACCTGTCCTCATGCGCCCTTGGCAGGGATTTAAACGTTCCACGGCTTTTCCACGAACCCTAAATCACGTAGATTCATCCCAGCCCTTGGTGAAGCGTAAGAGCTGGCGCAGCCTGTGTTAAATCACCCTCTCTGGGCCCTGCTCTGAGCGGCCGGTCACAAATTCCCGTAATGAGCGCCCCTGCCGGAGCGAGACAGCCCGCTGAATTAAGGGGGCCGAGAGCCCGGGGCAGGGGCAGGGGCAGGGACGTGTTTGCTCTGGCTGGGAAGGTGCCTGGCCCCGGCCTGTGTGTTGGTGGCCTGATAAGTGGGCCGCGTATAAGTGCCGTGTGGGGGGGGGCAGGGCCACCTGTCGTGTCCCGAGAGGTCACGCCTGCTGGCCCTGGCCGGAGCTGGCTGGAGAGGGACCCCCCTCATTGACCAGGATTATTTTTCTTCCTTTAGGAATAAAAATGGAACCCTCGAACGTTTTGTGTTGACAAATGACTTCCAGGCTGCTGTCTGTTTGGAGGACAAAGCTCCCAGCTGCAGGGCAGGCGGAGGCTGTGGTCACCGCATGTTGACGCTGCCCTGTTTCCTGCGGCCGGGCAGCAAGCCCCTGATGGCGGAATGGACACAGCTGGTGGGCAGTGTGGCCCGGTGGGGAGAGAGCAGAAAGCCTGGGTCGTCCTGGCTCTGCGGTTTATCAGCGGTGTCACCTTGGGCAAGTTATTCGACCTCTGTGTGCCTCAGTTTCCTCACCTGTCCACAGGGGGGCTTGTAATCCTGGCTCTGTATGCCTCACCAGAGTGTTGGCAGCATCAGGTGAAATGACATAAAGGGAAAGCGGTGCACATGTTAATCGGCCGTACATATTTTAATGAGAGAGGCCCACCCTCAGTCCAGCCCGTGGCACTGCGCAGGGACAGCGTCAGCAGGAGGATGCCGTTCTGACGCGGACTGTGGGTTTATGCCTCTCCTGAGAGAGGGGCGATGCTGTCTCTCCTATAGGCACAGAGCTTGACCATGACTGTAGCAGTACTGCTTGCTCGCAGGCTTCCCGAGGGGAGGGATGACGGCTGATTTCCATGGATGCATTCCCAGGTCTCTGGGGACAAAGGCCACCCCCCCCCGTGTCCTGGACACCCTCCCCTCCCACTTTATGCAGGGGGCTTCTCCTGCAGTCTGCACCCCTCTTCCACCGCAGTGCCAGTTTCTCTCCTTTCCCGTGTTTCGGGGAACAGACACATCCTAATCAGGGCCCACTTAAGGCACACACAGCCCTCCCTCTGGGCGCCTGCTTCCCTGCACCCCAGCCCAGCTCACCGCCTCAGCTCCTCCCCTCCCCGCCCTCCTCAGCCGCTCCCAGGCTCCTGCCTCAGTGGCGCTTGTCCACTGCCGTCCTACATGCAGAGTGGCGGTGGTGGTCGGCATTCCGCCCGTCTGCCCAGCCTCTCAGGGCTCGCCCCGGAACTTGCTCCTCAGACCTGCCTGAGGCTGCGCCACCGTCTCTCGTCTCAGCTCCCCTCACCTCCAGCTGAGGGGTGCCCAGGGGCTGTTCGAGCAGTCAGAATAACTCTACCTACACCCTTCAGAGGACACCATGCCCGGTCCTGTGGCTTTCAACACCAGCCAGACAGGGTGACTCCTGCTTCTTTTCTAGCCCAGACCTTCTCTCTGAGCTGCAGACTCGTGCCGGCTGTCTCCTCCGCATCTCCTCTTGACGTCCTCTGAAACTCTGAATGGGCCCCGGGACTCTCTTCCCTGGCTCCTTCCCTCTGACGTCCACTCCTCCCTGCCTTTCCCATCTCCGCAAACGGCACCACCATCCTCCTGCACACCAAACGCCCCGACTCTCCTCCGCCCACCCTGCTGGTGAGTCCAGGCCACTCTCAAGCCTCCCCGGCACCCTCACGGCGGCCCGGTGACGGGGCCCCTCTTGGCCCCTCCAGTCTACACTCCATATGACAGCCGGAGTGAGCTTTCTAAAGCATCAGTCAGATCATACCACTCTCGTGGTCAAGACTCTTCGGTTGGCTTCCACTAGACCCAGCATGAAGTCCAAACCCCTTTCCTTCTCCGGCAAGGCTGGTGTGATCTGCCTCTTGTTCTCCTGCTGCCTGCAATCCAGCCACTCTGGCTTCCTTCCCACCCCGGGAACAAGCAAAGCTCCTTCCCCTTCAGGGCTTTCCACTCTCTGCTCTTTCTGCTTGGACTGCGTGCTCCCAGACGCTGCCTGGCACTCCATCCTCACTGTCCAGCTATCGGGCTAAAGTTCCCTGCTCCAGAGGAGCCGCCCCAGCCACCCAGCTAAAAGCAGTCTTTCCAGCCGCTGTCTACAGCATTACGTATTTTAGCGATTGCACAGCATGTATCAGCCCCTGCAAGGATCTTATTTGTTTGTTGATGTGTTTATCGTCCGTCAAGAACGCTGGCGTCCCCAGTGCTTGGCTCTGTTGTGTGCCCTGCTGCGGCCCCAGCATGAGGGGGAGTGCCTGGCAGACAGGGGGGCCCCGTAAGGACAGTGTCTTTCACCAATGGGGTTTTCATGACTGTTCAGTGTCTGCACGTATCGTTAGAGTATCTGGGGCATAGATGGGACCTTGGAGATAATGAATCCAATTTCCTTTTCTTTTTGAGACAAGGAAGCTGCGAAGGAGAGAAGGTCTAGGTGTGACAGCAAGTTGGGGGCAGAGCTGTGCTGTCTCGGACGCTGCTGGTCGTGGTGGTGGGAGTGAAGGGCAGCAGGCTGGCAGCCCGGCCAGGTGGGCACAGCACGGCACGGGCCGTCCGTCAGTTGCGATGCTCTGTCCGTGCTCGAACCTCTGACTGTCTGAACTGCAGATGCTGCTCGAGAAGACGGGTGTGGGCAGAGGTCAGCCACTGTAGAATCCAAGTCTGCTGTTCCGCGCCATCAAGGAGGAGCACTTGTGACATGGGAAGGCGATGTGAGGCCTGTTCAGGAGCCTCCGGATCCTTAGGAGGAGGCTAAGACTAACCGCAGGGCTGGGTGGGTGGCCCCGGGGCTTGTCCCTGTGGGTTTTGGAGGGGATGGAAGGCAGGAGAAGGAAAGGCCCATCCACAGCAGATGGGAGATGGGGCAGCTGCCAGGAGGACGAGGGACAGGCCCAGGAGGTAAGGGGGCAGGCCAGTGGCTTCTCTTCCTGTCGTGTGACAGCCACGCTCATTTCCTCTGTGATTGTTACAGTGTCCCCAGGCCTGGGTCTTCAAGTGGTGCTCACATCCACAGCTCACTGGCAAGAACCACACTCCAGTAGCGGGGGCGAGATTTCTAGCCGGAGATTCAACAAGTTACCAAAGCGTCACTCAGCCCCTTCCTGTTTGGAGAAGGCTGGGCAAAGCAGAGAGCTGGCTCTGGGGGCAGAGAACAAAAGGGGACGAGGGCCTGGAGGAGGGGGAGAGAGCTCTGCCAAGAGGGGCGGGATATCCGGGCTGCCACCCACTTGGGCCTGCCTTGCCGTTTCCCACGCTGCCCTGGGGCTTTCTCCAGGAGGAGGCCGAGGCCGGCACGGGTGGGGCGACTGGAAGACTGGTCTCGGGGCTCTGGGAACATGCAGGAAGCTCCCTACCTCCTTCTCCCCTCACTGCTTGCTCCAGCCTGCCCCCACCGGCCCCCAGGGTGGGTGACCTGTGGCCCTGGAGGAGCCACGGACGGAGGTGCACTTACATTTCTTCTGCAGAATGCTCTGTCTGGCCTTGATGAATGCCAGGATGTCGGAGTCCGTCTGGCTGTCACCGGTGAGAGGGACGGAGGACATCGGCCTCTCGGGGATGCTGGTGACAACCACATGTCACGCTTTACTACACCTTATGATTGGACTCAGCACTTACCTTTCCAAGTGCTTTTCTGTTTTTGGTGACCGATGTCACCCAGGAAGCCGTGTGACACAGCTGTCCTTTCTCACTCCCTCCCCCCTCTGTGCATTGGCCACACCGAGCCTTTTATCGTGCAAACCGGGTCATGTCACTCCCTGCCTTAAACCCTCTAGTGGCTTCTCATTACTCTTGGAACAAAATGCCTACTCCATCCATGACCTACCAGGTCCTGTGTGACCTGACCCCCGGTCAGCAGGCTGCGGCCACCCTGACCTTCCTTCTGTTACTTGAATATACCAAGCTCCTTCCAGCCTCAGGGCCTGAGCTCTAGCCGTCCCCTCTCCCTGGACCGCTCTTGCCCAAGACAGCGGAATGCGCTTGAGGTCACCACCCTTCACCGCCACCCCTCCTGTCCTGTGTCCCTGCCTCACCCAAACCAATCCCACTTTACTTCAAGATGTCACAGCAAGTTGGTGGCAGAGCCGTGCTGTCTCAGGCCTCAGAGAAGGCCTCCCCGTGGTGCTGAGCTGCTGGTGCTGGCCTGTCTCCTTCTGCACCCAACTCGGATGTCCTATACTTCAGGACTGTGGGCCCAACCCCTGGGCCTGTTAGGGACTGAGCCACAGACCTCTGTGCTTCCCGCCCACTTCGTGGAAAAATTGTCCTCCATGAAACGTAGGGACGGCGGTGGGGGTGGGGGTGGTGCTGGACAGCGAGGGCGAGCGGCAGGTGAGCGGCGGGCGAGCAAGTGAAGCTTTATCTGTATTTATAGCCGCTCCCCATCACCCGCATCACCGCCTGAGCTCCTCCTCCCCCCACTCCCCATCCCTGGAAAAATCGTCTTCCATGAAATCGGTCCCTGGTGCCAAAAAGGTTGGGGACCACTGCTTTAGGACGTCTCCCCAGTGCACCCCATTCCCCACCATGGTTTAGCTAGCTGCTGTCAAGGCAGAGATTACTATTCTCCTGTCTCCTTAGAAACAGAACCGTATTTAGCTAAGTTGCCACAACTAAAAACACTATTAATACCTTTCCCAGCCTCCCTTGCAGCTGTGTGTGGCCAGGTGACCAGGTTCTGGTTGGAGAGGTTTGTAAGCAGAAGTGGGAGTCCAGGCAATCCCCTTAGAAAGGGAGCATTATGTGCCCTTCTCCTTCCTTTCTCCATCCAGCTTCTACAGGTAGCACTGCCCGTAGGGCAGCTCAGAGCGGCATGCTCGCCTGGCTTGGCTAATCTTCCACCCTCACACCTATCACTCCACACAGTGGGAGATGGTATCCTCTTCTTTAGAAGGCAGTGAGGACTGTATGTAACAAGGGATTGTCCTTGTCACAAGTAACTTTTGGTGTCAACATTCCAGCTGCAGCTCAGCCAGATGCACTAAGGCAGATCTGTGGCGGGAGGGCAGGGGCTGCTGGCTCCCTCAGTCTGCCTGGGGCATGGGGAATTCAGCCCTGGGCACAGCTCTGGGAGGACAGCACGTGGCCAGGTGACGGCTGAGCCGGCATCCTAGACACAGGGCACAGAGAGCACGAACTGGGAAGAGGCCTTACACACTTTGCTCAGCCCTGAAGCAAGTGCTCCCGGGCTTGAGGGCGGCTTGTCAGCTCTGTGTCTTGCCATGGGGCTAGTGGGCTGTGTTGGAACTGCCCCTGGACTGGGCGCTTTCCTTTTATGGCCTCCAGAAAGATCTATTAAGAAGGAGTTGTGTGCTGCACGGGGTCCCAGGGACTCTGGGAGAAGATGCCCCAGCTTTGAGAGTGGCATGTGTGAGACAGTCCGGAGGATCCCCAGGGGACCAGGCAACGGTCAGCCTTGGGCCCTGTCTGTGCAGCTACTGGACAAGGGGCTTCCTGGGGGGAGCAGACTGGTGACTTTGCCCCACTCTGCCCACTGCAGAGGCTGTTATAGGCGTCAGGGGGAGGGGAAGGCCACAGACCTGTTTCCCAGGGGGGTGCTGATGCGACTCTGTTCCTGGCTGCGTGGGTTGGGGCAGGGGCAGGGCAGGGTTTTCCTGGCATACACACCGCTGCAAGACACAAACCAACAAAAGCAAAATGTATGCGGGTAAGTGTATAGAAGAGAAGCTGAGGGTTTATATTTAGGGGCTGTCAGGGACTGAAGGTGTCCTCCCCAAATCCACTTTATAGATGAGAAAACTGAGGCTTAGAGAGGTTAAAGCCATTCTAAAAGTACCCAGCTGGTAAGTGGCAGGATCCAGAGCTAGTCACGACTCTGCGAGGCTTCAGGACCTGTGCTGTCAGCCACAACGCATCATTAGCGGGGTTCATTTCTGTGGCGTGCTAGGGAGCACACACGGCTTACCCCTGACCACACTGACTGCCCCTGGGTGGCCTGGCCGGTCAGCTCCGGGCTCCCTGGGCTGGGGGCAGCTCCAGCAGCTCACCTCGTGCAGCTGTGCCCCTTGCCCGTGCTGCCGGGTGCATGCGCCTCGCCTTGGATTCCTGGTTGCATGCAGTGAGCCTAGCAGCTCCTCCTGGGAGGTGAAGAGGCGTGTGGACACATGGCAGGTTGCCAGTTTATTCCACGTGCCTGTGATGATAAAGGCCCTACTCTGAGCCGTGTTGTAAGGATTCAGTGGCGGGATCCTCGTCCCTGCTTTGGGACGGTCCTGCCTGGAGACAATGTCAGAGCTGGAGGAGGCCCAAGAAGTCGCCTGGTTAGAACCCTCCTTTTACAGTTGGGGACGCTCAGCTGACAGGCAGGCTAGGGGTAGAGACAGGTGGGCTGGCTTCGCCCAGGCTGCGTCCTCAGTCCATGGTACTGCACAGGCCTGACAAACTGCTTGCCCCACCCCGAGGATGGTCTCTACCCCAGCTCCAGCCTCCTGCCCTCTCCCATCTCAGCCAGTGGCAGGGCCTCTTCCCCTGGGCCTGTCTCCACGGATCATGACCGTGGGTCAAACCAAAGGAAAGGAAATTAGAGCATGGGACTCCCCACCCCTTGCCTGTTTCCCAGCTGTCAGAGACTTCCCAAGAGCCCCCGGGAGAGTGGAGGATCTCCGTGGGAGTCTGGTGAGGACTGCTGTAGGACCAGAGACAGCCACAAGGTGGCAGGCTGTGCATGTTTTTCTTTGGAGGACAGTGGCCAATTCTCAGGGCTCCTGCCAGTGGTTCCTGGTGCAGGCCTGGCTGGGGAAGGGAGGGAGAAAGGGCTTTCCATCCTGCAGGTGCTTCTATTACGGTGGGTCAAGGTCAGTTTGGAGGCCATGGCATGTCTGCAATACCAAGTCATTTGCACATAAATGGCTCATTAACTTAATAGTTTCCAGTGGAGCTTTGTTCAGATTCCAGAGAGAGTTCACAAATGCAGACTGTGGGTGGAAGAGGAGGAGAGACAGACTGGGGCAGGGCAGCAGTGGTGGTCACATGGTGGCAGCTGGGGGCATCCAGTACCTTCTGCAGAGGCCCAGCTGCCCAGCCTGTTGCCTCAACCGGCTCATGCAAGAGGACAGAGCAATTGAAGGCTTGGAGCTCCTGAGGGAATTGACTCCCCCAGCCCCTAAGCCGCTCAAGTGTCCCTGGATGCCACAGCTCAGTTTCTGTAGCTCTCAGGATTGTACCACAGATGACCTTTGCCCGCTCTCTCTGCTCAACCAGCCTTTGACACTCAATTCATTTCTCATGTTGACATCCCTTCTGGAGAGAGAGCATGCGGACCATCAGAATGAATCACCTCTTTCTTAATAAGGATTCATAAGCGATACTAACAATAATTAGGCCTCCTGGGTTGCCAATCAGAGTGTTTAGTGCGATCAGCCTCCAGGCCCCGAGCACCCCTGGGGAAGCGGTGAGTCAGATTTCCCTCAGACCTGGCGAGCAGAGGACCAGCGCCCTGGCCTGGAGATTCCACCAAGAGCGGCCCCTCTGCAGTGTGCGCGGGAGCAGCCAGCTCCAGCTGCTCTGAAATGATGCCGAACATCTATCTGATCATAGCATGACAGTGTCACAGTGTCGGGGGCCCCTGGTGCACCTTACAGATAAGGCGAGGGGACCCCAAAGGGGCAGGCTGCTTGGCAGAGCTACGCTGGGATTCACGTGAGGACTTTGTGAAGGTCTACACTGAGGGGACTCCTTGGAGGTGGCCAGCGATGATCTGATGTACTCCTTTGAAATCCAAGGTTCTCACCGCAGGGTTAAGGATCTCTTGGCAAGCACATCCAGGGATCATCTT